AGCACCGAGGATGTTACCTAGTTAGGGTAATGAAACGTGTGCAAGAAAACAAGCAAGATCAGTGAGCACCAAGGACCCCTCATAAACCACACAGTTCTTCCAAGGGTTTGATGTCTTCAGGTCGATGACTCTCATCTATTACCTTTCCAAAGGCACCAGATACCTTCAAACAGGCCAGGATTCAAAGTTGGACATGGGGCAAGAATTGAAATTTAATGAAAACCTGAAGAGTTACAAAATCACTGTAAACCTATCAGGGTCCCTCCTGGATAAAACAAAGAAATAAAAAGTTTCAAGTAGATTGTTATCCTTTTGACCAGGAAGAGAAGGCCAGATCTTGAGAAGATCTGTAAGCAGATGACCCTGTACCAGATGTCTAGCAGTAGATGAGGAGAACTCTGGAAACCCAGACAGCCCACTTAAAGCAGCATCAAAAAGGATGCATGAAGAACCGAAGGAATTTCTCCTGCTTCTTTCTCAGCCCAGAGCTTGTAAGATTGGACTTTGACCGCAATAAATTGAATTAAATTGAGCTTGTAAGATTCTGTTTTAGAGCACACGTGCATTGATTACAATATATAAAGCTTCAGAGATGCCGAGCATGAAATGATCCCAAATGCAACTTGATTAAATATAGCTTCAGGGGTTTCTTTTGCAAAGAATGTGGTAGACCCGTTTACAGAAGCTACCCTGCTCCAGATTGGTTCTGAGCACTCCCTGGGAGAAAGATACACTCTCTACCAGAGATGAGTCTTCAAGATAACAGTGGTTATGTCAACCTCACCCTTTCTCAAGACATGCGGCTAAGCATTTTTCAGCCCCGCCCTGCAAGAAACAAATCCTTGTTTATCAGGATGGGAGGAATGCCCCAACTCAACTTTTAGGCAAGGCAAACAAGGGCGTATTGCTCTCGTCTAACTAAATTTATGGATCCTAAGCAGATTCTGTCAAGTTGTTTCTATCATGAGAGCAGATAAGTGACATGATAGCAATGTTCCAGTATCTCAGGGGCTGCCACAAAGAAGAGGGGGGTCAACCTATTCTCCAAAGCCCCTGAAGGCAGGACAAATGATGGAAACTAACCAAAGAGAGAAGCAACCTAGAAACAAAGAGAAATTTCCTGACTGTGAGAACAATTAATTAGTGGAACGGTTTCCCTTCAGAAGTTGTGGCTGCTCCATCACTGGAGGCTTTTAAGAAGAGACTGGACAGTCATTTGCCTGGAATAGTATAAGGGCTCCTGTTTGAGCAGGGGGTTGGACTAGAAGACCTCCAAGGTCCCTCCAATGCTATTATTCTGTTAGTGGAACTGCTTGCCTCCAGAAATTGTGGGTGCTCCAGCGCTGGAGGTTTTTAAGAGACTGGACGACCATTTGCCTGGAATGGTATAGGGTCTCCTGCTTGAGCAGGAGGTTGGACTAGAAGACCTCCAAGGTCCCTTCTGTTACTCTGTGTGTGACCTAAGGGTTTCTACTACCGTTATCTTTTTGCTTGGTCTTATTACATTTATATCAAGCCTAATAAAAGATTGGACAGCCATTTGTCCGGAATAGTATAGGATCTCCTGCTTGAGCAGGGTTTTGAATTATTTCTCCAAATAACGTCTCATTTTTCTTCCTGGATGATAATAATATTAAATTTATACGTTGCCCAACTCCAGCAATTAAAACCTATTCTATTTATTAAATTTATACGCCGCTGAAACTTTTGATATCCTATGGAAAAAACATCCCATGCCGTTTGTAGAGACTCAATATGTCTATAATACAACCTAACATTTCAGGAGATTTACAAGCCTCATTTCCCCCCATGATTAAACCAGGAGTTTATAACATGTTTTTTAAAAAATAAAGATTTATTCTAGTATCTGACTAAACTTAATTTAAACCCCTTTCTTGAAAGAAAAAATTCCTCCTATGGAAAATACCCCAAATAATTATTTGCCAATACAACTTCTCTAGTAATTATCCAACCTCTTAAGAGTCACAAAAACTCAAATAAACAACCCCTAATCAACATACTATAAATTATTATTGTGTATTATCCCGTATTAAGCATCTGCCTGGAAATTAACAAAAAATACCCTTAATATATAATATTATGAAATATCAGCTATTAAAATTAATATACGGTCACCCTCCTCAATAAAAACGTCGAATATGGACTTTAATGGGGTTAAACTCAAGCCCCGTTTCCCCCGAGGGGCGATGGACTACAAACCCATCACCTCCCTCAGCCCAGCCCAAAGGATGGGAGTTGTGGTACCGGCCTACACGTCAATCAAAACACCCCTCGGGCTCTCATTGGCCGAGTTTCCAGGAAGCCCCTCCTCCGTTTCCGCCCCCGGATGGGTTTCGCCTTATTCCCTTGGAGACGGAGGACGAGGGTAGGAGAAAAAAAAAAAAAGCCGTGCCCTGGGCGCATGCGCGCCGAGGCGAGAGACGCTGGCGAGGCGACGCCTTCAGTCTGGTGCGCCCGGTGACGTCGCTCGGCGCGCGCCCGAGCGCACCGCCCCGCCCCTTCCCGGGAGAAGGACTGCGCAGGCGCGGCAGCCCGCCCTTCCTCCCTCTCTCTCTCTCTCTCTCTCTCTCTCTCTCTCTCTCTCTCCGAGGAGGCGTCTCAGCCGGGCCGCCCGTCGGGAGCGCGCCGCCCGTCGCCGTGCCCGCGCCCTCGTGCCCGCCTCGCCCGCCCGCCCGTCTCCGCGTCCCTCTGGGGTGGCCGCGGCCCCCTCCGGCCTGGGCGCGGCGGCGATGGAGTAGCCGCGGCCGGGGAAAGGCCGACGCAAGGTGAGGGGCGGGGGTCGCCCCCCCCAAAGGAAGGAGAGGGGGGGCTTGGCAGGGGCGGGGACCCCCGCAGGACACGAGCCGGGCGCGTCCCCGCCCATGAAAGTCCCACGATCGTGGTGGGGAGGGGGCGTCTATCCAGTGAGTCCCCCCCATCAGTGTCCCCCTAATTGGGTTAGGAAGGGGGGGATCTCTGCAAAACACGCGTGGTGATTTGGGGGAGGGCGATCGTGGCTTATTTGGGGGAGGGGCAGAGCATTCGTATGGAAGAACTGGGCTAGCCTTGCATTTTTGCTTTTTTTTTTCTTCCTCCCCCCTCCTCTCTTCCCCCCCCCTTAAAGGAGGGGGGAGCTTTATAAAAGTGTCACTTTCTATTGTCTTCAGCACTTGGAAGGGGCGATGGGGTTGTTTAAGACCATGGGGGTGGGTCTGATGGGGTGCACAGTGACAACCAGGGGTGTGTGTGATTGTTGTGTGCAGGGAGGGGGCCAATGGGGCATTAGGAGGGAGCGAAGGGGAGGGCAGATCTAAGCCTGGAGGCTCACAATAATAGGACCCTGATCAATTTCACTCTTTGTAAGTCAGTTTCACCGTTGGTGTGTGAAGTCCTTGCTTTATTTTATTTTATTTTTTACTTTCTCCTCTTTGGGAGCTTGGGGGGGGGGAAGAAACCACAATCAACACAAAGGCAAAATAAGCAGGCTTCGAAGAAGGCGTAGTTAAAACCAAGCAAGCAATAAAAAGCAATAAAAAAGCCCAGTTGCAATCATGCAGAAATTGATTAGTTGGGTATGAAGGCAAGGGGAAGCTGGAGAAGAGGAAAGGGGTGTGGGGAGGGGCGTGCAGGGATAGGATTTGTGCGATTTGTAAATGTGGTGTGTGCGATTGTCTAGCAGAACTTTTTAAGGACCCACTAGGCCTGGGCTAGATTTTAGGTTAGCACAATAGAGAAGCCTGGATCCTAAGTGTGCTTGGGAGAATTTCCTTCAGTCAAGAAAAAGCAGTCATAAAAGGCGATAGGACACGTGTCTTCCTTTATTTATATTTAAATAAATCGGGGATCTGTGTCTTATTTTATTTGCATTTGTGTGCATTTCAACAACGGGGCTGGAATTAGGCACTGGTTGTGGGAAGGAGAGTTGGATAAAGGAGGCCCTAACATGACAGGGCACTAAGCACACGTGAATGAGGACTGGGGGCAGAGTGAGAATGAAGGAGGAGGCCGTTCGTCTGTAAGGTCTCGATAAAGGAGAATATTTGCAGCTCAGGGTTGGAATGAGGGGTCCTTGGTGCTCTCTGAGCTCAGGCGATTCACCGTAAGGTCTCTTAAGGAGACAGGACTCCCTCCCTACCAAGTGGAAAAGGGCTGAGACAGTTGTAAGAAGCGATCACAATAAGAATCACCATCCATAATTTTGAAGGTAGAAAGCAGGGCGTGCAGAAAACAGAACCGGGAAGAGATTTTGGCAAAGGGAAATGTGTGTGTAGGGGGAAGCTAGTGAGATTGCAAAAAAAAAAACCGAGAGAAGGAACTGGGCGATGGATGCAAAGCAAGGAGATCTTGACAGGATCTCTTTTGTTGTCTTTGTTTTTTGGGGGGGGGGATCAAGCCTTCTAGCAGGAAAGGAGGATTGAGACCCCTTTCCTTTGATCGCCCCCCAAACATGCCAGCAGAAAAGGTAAGAGGTTTGACTATTTTGGCTTATTATCTCCTTGCCGAAAGTATTTTGAGCATCTGCTCCTTTCAGCCAGCCGCTGATCCCTCAGGAGTAAGGATGAAGGAAACAGAAGGTGTTGCTTCTGGTGTTGTGGGAATCTGATGATAAATGTTCCCTTTCTGGTCAAATGCTTTGGACCTGTGCATATTATTAGAGGTTGCTTAACTCACCAGAGCCAATAATTGCGGGTGAGCGAGGATCCTGTAAAGCAAGACGAACATAACTACCCTTGCTGAGTTGGTGTGCTGGTTATCTTGTTTCTGTTAAGTTTTGATTGTGTACAGAGCTTTGGGGCGGGTGATTTTCCAACCGAGCTTTGTTGCAATCCGTTATACCAAACCTTTACAATAAAAAAATAATAATAAAATCTCCCCCTCCCAAGTTTGTGGGCTGATAGGAACCCGTCCTTGATCATCCGCTTGAATTTTGAACTGTCATTTCAAGACGTTAGGCTCTGTTTCTCTCTGTGTTCTTTTTTCCTATTCGGTTGTCCTTGCAGATGGTGGATGTTGATATTGGTGCTGGTGGAGATAACCCCAGAAGAAAAATGGATGCTCTTACAGATAGTAGCGCCGAGATTGTTCCGTTGGAACTCTATGATTCATCCCGAGCCAAAATAGCTGCTAATCTACAGTGGATCTGCGCGAAAGCTTATGGAATAGGTAAAAAAAAAAAAAAAATTAAATCCCGTTGCAAAAATATTATTTTATTTCTTAACCTCTCCCTCCCTGCCTTCTCACTGAACGGGTTTGGAACTGTGCTTTTTTTTAAAAAAAAAAAATATGTATAGAACTGCTTCCTTTCCATGCTTTGCCAGACCTTGGTGTACACCCCCTTTTCTTGTCATGAATGGCCTGTAGTTTTAAGTGCAGAACACCCTGCCGTGCCATTGTTTGTTTTTGTATCGCCAAGCTGTCCTCTCCCACACATCATTTAAAAAGGCCTGCGAGAACCCCACCGTTTGTAGGATTTGACTTTGCGAGTCCTTTTGGGGGGGGGGGTAGATGCCTGCTGCTTAGTTTGGAGGGTTCCTAACTGATTAATTTTTAAAAATAAAATAAAATAAAATCTTGTGGTATGCAGAAGGTCAGTCGGTCACCTTCCTTTAAAAAAAAAAAAATGCAGCATTTGAATTCCAGAACAAATTGATGTGAAGATCACACATCCCCTTTTGTGTGGGATTCTGAGTGGTGGGTATAAAAATAAAGGGAAGCTATTGATGGAAAACGTCTAGCTGCTAAACTCCTGTGTTAGCCTGAAAGTGTATGTTGGGACCTTTCCAATTTCTCTCTCTCTCTCTCTCTCCCTTTCTCTTTCTCTCTCTATCTTGCCAACTTGAGTTTTGCATTGCAGTAAATTCATCTGTTTTGATGTCTTGCTTTCTATCTTTTGAGCAAAGATTTCTATAGCTATTTTATTGGTTATGGTGCTTCTAGCAGAAATAAGTGTGAAATATGTAATTCGGAGTTACAGAGTTGTTGATCCTTTTAATCTAACTCCATTTTGCCAACTGCTTAGCAAATTGTTTGCTTTTTAGTAGGGCTAAAATGCAGTGTATTTCTTACTGGCAGGTTTATTTCTTTTTGGCTAGCACAGTACCTTTTTGTTCTATAAAAATTGTACCATGTGTTAGATTGAGATTAGGAATGCTAACCAAAAGTTTCCTGCACAGAAATTTTACTGCAGCTCTGGTAAATTGGAGTTAAAAAAACAAAAACAACTTCACCATAGCATAAGCCGCAACTACAGTTAAGATGATGGTGTTTTGTATTCCTCCATTATTATGGTTTATCTGTTGGGATATTTTGTATCTGATTTTCAGAACTGTACTGTATAGGTTGGAGTCACTGGTTAGTAAATGTTGTGTTTATGTTTACCTTCCATGGGAACTAGGGAACTAGGCTTGCATGAGAGCAGAGTTATAAACATATCTGTTGATCAGGGTTACAGACCCCAATTGAGTGGATTTCAGAATTTGAATTCAGGTTGTTACCCTAAATAATTGGCTAAGTTTCTTTAGCCTTCCAGATAGTTGGTATAATTTTTATCAATGTACAGAAGCCGCACAATCATGTAATTGACATACTTGACTCTATTTCTCTCAGTATGCATCTGGTCAGTTGCAAAAAAAATCAGATTTGATGTTTGGCTTTAAGGCTTATTTCTCCTCCCCCCCCTTTCTTAAAGTATAAAACTGTGGTCCTGCATACCCCAAATCTCCAATCTTCTAAAAATCTTTGCAAGGCTTCAGACTTAACTCAATTAGATATCTGCGCAACCTCACCTTAATTCCAGATTTCCTCCAAATATGAAGCCAGCACCTACTTTGTAATGTTTGAATGGCACTGCTGAGAGTAAATCACCTTTGAGTTGTGTGTCAAATAGTAATTTTGTGAAGACACACGTCTCTCTTGCACTCAGATGAGGTGGTTCCAGCGAGCTCGTGGGACAAGAAAACAGGTATCTAAGAAGCTGTTTTGGGATGAAACGAGGCAAACAAGCTGAAACATAACCCGAAAAAGGCAGTGGGAAAGCTGGCAGATCTGGATAAAGGCGTTGAACTAGTTTACAGTTTGGTGGCCCTCCTGGGCTTGGGGCTACATTTCTCGCTTGCAGTGTCCAGGAGTGCCAATTGCAATCCTGTCTCAGTGTAGAAATTCATGCATGGATTATGAATTGCATCCAAGCTAGACTACTGAGGTTGTACAACTATCTAATTGAAGGCATAAACCAAAATGTAGTAGTCTTAGCAGTTGCCCTTGAAGTTTTGATTTGATAAAGCCGCTGTGCCAAAGTGGTTAAAGTGTTGGATGAGAATGTGTGGGGCGGGGGGGGGGCTTTGAAGGTTTCCCATTGATTGAGTCTGTAGGAGGCAAAGGGTGGGTGGGACACCATAGTACAGATTTCCTCAGCATGGGAAATCGGAGAATTTGAGTTCTAATCCTTTTGATAGATGTGCTGTAGATATTGAGGAAGGATGGTCATTTTCAAGGAAGTTGCGTTCCTGAGTTTTGATAGATATATTGTGGTCGGTTAGTCGAGCATTATTGACCACAACTATTCAAGAATGACATTTCCACAAGCAATTTGTCCTTTCAGCAGTTTTTAAAATAAGGAAATTGTGTTTTTTTTCTTCTTTTCTCCTGATTGGCTACATCTTTAATTAAGTTGCTGGTGGTGTCAAACACCAGTTCTCTCCCTTTGAACTGGCTCGTCTTCTCCTTTCAGATAACATCCCGGAGGAATTAAAAGATCCCTTTTATATAGACCAGTATGAGCAGGAGCACATCAAACCGCCTGTCATCAAGCTGTTGTTATCCAGCGAGCTGTACTACCGCGTCTGCAGTCTTATTCTCAAAGGGGATCAGGTGGCTGCGCTGCAGGGACACCACTCGGTCATCCAGACGCTCTCCCGGAAAGGGATTTACGTCATGGAGAGCGACGATACGCCCGTGTCCGAATCCGATCTCAGCTCTGCGCCGATCAAAATGGTGAGCTTAAAAGAAAAGCACGAGTTGAGCTCCTGTGCTTTACTCTCCTTTGTTTCCTCCTCGCAGGTCCTCCCCAGGCCTGAACTGGCTGACCCCTTTTTCCAGTCTTCTTGAGAAGGCGATTGAACCCAGCGTTGTTGTTGTTTTTTTGGTCTTGTAGAGTCCACACATGGCAATGATTGATGCTCTCATGATGGCCTACACGGTAGAGATGATCAGCATTGAGAAAGTCGTGGCGAGCGTCAAATGTTTTTCTACGTTCAGCGCCTCCAAGGAGTTGCCCTACGATCTGGAAGATGCGATGATATTTTGGATTAACAAGGTAAATCCTGAGCTAATTTTATGGGGAAGTTTCTGATTGTCGGTCAAACACCAGCATGGGACCTGCAAGCGGGATACAATTTGTGTTTTCCAATATTAGGAGAACGAGGGGGGAGTGTAAGCGTTTCTCTACAGTAACTAGGCAGTAACTTCACCTTGCTTCTAAGCAACATAAAACGAAACCTTGGATAAATAAAATTGGCTAGCGCAGGGGAGCTAAGAGGTCCCAAAAGTGAGAGAATACTCTGTAAAAATCTTCTTCTCCTGCTTAACTCTCTTGCTTGTATTTCAGAAAACAAGTATTTAGCCAGAGATATTAGACTTAATTTCGAAAATACCTTAGAAATTGGGTAGGGAATAAAACAAGGGAAATCCATTTACTTAGGTCCTGGAGTAATTTTGTTTTTATGGCTTGGGGGCTGATTTGTGATTTAGATTTAGATTTGTGATATAGTGGGTGCCTATATCTGAAGTACGTACGTATATGCCGGCGTATTAGGTGACCCGGCATATAAGACGATCACCGTCTTTGTCGCCGAGCCGCATTCCTAGAACGTCGTCTTATACACTGGAAACTACCAGTATTTCTGGCGTATAAGACGACTCGGCGTGTAAGATGACCCCCGTCTTTGGCGCTGAGTTTAGCGCTTCCGGAAGTCGTTTTATATGCCGGCATATACGGTATGTGTGTCTAGATACGCGTGTGTATATTTGGAGCATCTGTATGATTAGGAATTTGAAATGGTTAATCGTATTTGATTGTCATCTGGATTGGGTGGTAAGAAAAAGAGAGGGAAGCACAGGCTTATGGATATGCAGAATACCGTTAGGGAGACTGAGAAAGCATAAAGAAATAACAAAGCCCTGAAGTTTAGCAGTTAAAACAAAAATCAGGAGAAAGAATACAGTTGTCATCATTACCTTTTTTTTTTCTCCTCTGCTCTTTTAGGTGAACCTAAAAATGAGAGAGATTACAGAAAAAGAGATTAAATTAAAACAGCAATTATTGGAAAGCCCAGGTCATCAAAAGGTAAAGCATATTAGATGAAATGGGACGTTTAATTAAACCTCATTGTTTTTTCTATCTGCCTTTGCTCTTACATCAGTAGAATTTACTATCCTGTCTTGTACCTCTTCTATAAAATTGCTTTGTTGATTCCGATGCTCTTAATTTCTTTTTCCTTTTTTTTCTTTTTTAAAAATCTGTCCATGTACTGTATTGTGGAGTGATTTGAACATTAAGAGATGTCTTAAGACACGGTCTGCAAAGGTGCCAGGGGTTTCAAAAAGATGGAACCTGGAGGCTGCTGTGACAATCCCAATTTCAAAAGTTTAGTTTGCACTCCCCGTTTTATTTTATACAGGTAGTCCTCAACTTAAAACTGTTCATTTAGTGACCGTTCAAAATTACAACAGCGCTGAAAAAAGTGACTTACAACCGTGTTTCACACTTATGACCTTTGCAGCATTCCCGGGTTCATGTGATTTACATTTGGATGCTTGACATCTGACTCACATTTATGACATCGTAAAGTGGGGCAACACTCGCTTAACAAATGTCTCACTTAACAACATAAATTTGGGGCTCAGTTGTGGTCGTAAGTTGAGGACCATGTGTATTTAGTTTATATTCACATTTTCCAGATTTTTTTTTTTAAAAAAAAATACCTGTTAAAATTGTGTAAGTAACATCTATAGCAGTGGCTCTCAACCTGTGGTTCACAGACCCCTGGGGGGGGGGGCATGAAGTTACAGGGTCTGCAAAGGCTTGAAGAAATGTGATGATTTAAATCTTATTCTTGGGGGTTTGTGGCCAGAGTCCATGGCCAGAAAAGGAATTTAAAGGGGGCTGACGGTGAAGAAAAGATTGAGAACCATCGATCTATAGAATTACTCAGAAGAATTAGTAGTGCATGTATACAATCCTTCCCGTCTTTTGTTCCTTTTAAGCATTGGACGTTACTAACATATATGCTGTTACACTTCCAGCATTAGAATATTATGAGAAGCACACCAAGCACAGTGGCACAACTGTGGGCGTGCATTTCTAAGTCTTGCTGAGACCTTCTTAACGGGTGTGGAAAAGGCTGCGGTTGAACTTTTTATATTGCACAGTCAAGACTTATTTAAATGACTTCCCGAAGGGATCTCCGCATGCTTGTCTCAAAGATGTTTTCTTGAGTCGTTTGGATGTCAAAAACCGTTCGCATGGCCCGGATGAGGCTCATGTAAAGTTTGCTTGTTAACATGCTCTGATGATGTTCCTCTCCTGTTCCCACCTTTCCGTTCCCCTGCTTCCCGAACAGTCTCCTTCCAAGTGGTATTGGAAATTAGTGCCTGTAAGTTAAATTAATTCCTGTCTGAACAGAGTTGTCATCCACAAAACCATGGCTTTTTTTTAATAGGTCTTTGATTTGCTTCCATTCAAAGCGCTAGCCTTCACCGTTCGCAATGTTTTCTCGGCTCCGGGCATTCTTTTTTTTAAAAAAAAACCAAGAAAATGTAGATTTCATTTCATGATTTTACGTACTGTAACTTGTAGCATCCATCACTAGGCAGATTTTCAGAGTGGCCGATGCTGAAACTCTCTAGCTATAGAAAAGAAAGATTAAACTCTAGATTGTCCTGTTCTATTTCAAAAGATTCCTGCTTTGCAAGCGTTGAGGTGAAGCCGGTCAGTTTAAAGTAATTTGGGCTCCCTTCCCTGAAAATAAGGGAAACGGTCGCTATAGTTGGATTTACATAGCTTGTTTTGAAAAACTTAACTTGTAGTAAAAGTCCTCCCCCCTCCCTCTAAATTCTTGCATATTACCGTATCTTGTTTCAAAGATCTAAATGTACAGTTCTTGTACGCACACACAGAAAAAAACCTCTGGTGTTTTACTAAGTCTAAACAGTCTCGTTTTGACTCTACTTAGAGTTGCCCTTTTGTTGAGCTCCATCACAGTGTTTGCAAGATGGACAAAGGAGCTGTTTCAGCCTGGTCCTTCTATGTCCTGTTAATTCTCTCCCTAGTCTTTGTTGAGCCTACACTTGCTCAATTAACTGGAAGGTTAGGATTCCAGCTGCCCTATGGCATAAAAATCCCCTGTTTCTGAGCAGCCTTCGTGAAAGAATGTGTGGGCTTCATAAACGCTGACCTGGGTCGATTCTGACAGTAGGGCATCCGAGGCTAATTAAGACTGGCAAGCGGTGGTTGAGTTTTGGGAGAAGTTACTGCCAGCCCGAGGCCATCCCCAGCTTGTAAACATTGGGTTTTAAAAAGTTTATTTAGCACAATGACACGTGCTAGTAACGGTCCGTTGACCCTTTTGTGAGAGACCACTCCATGCAGAGGTCAGCAAATTCTGTTCCTCCCATGCTTTTATTAGGTGAGATTGCCGCCCCGCACAAAAGTCCTTCCAGTTCATTATGATAGCTAAAATTAAATACGGTTTTAAGACTTTTCCCAATGAAGTTGAGAGTCCAAGAGTCAATGGGAGGCCTTGAATTTTATAAGGGGGGCCTGCAGTTTGAATAGGAAACTCAGCCCCCATTTTTGCTGCTTCAGCTTGCGAAGCAGAGGGAGTAGAGTGAGAATTTTAAACCCACAGGTTCACCTTACTGTGGAAAATAACCATGCTCAAAATCTAATCTAACATTAAATTGGAATTACATAAGAGTTCTGGTTGTCATCTTTTAGCTGCAGTGATGACACTATTTTGCTTAAGAATGATACCGTGTATGCTTTACTCAGCGCGTGATCCATCTAGTGACGTGCTCCATGGTACAGTATGATTCACATTACACAACAAGTTTGTGGAGAGACTCAGGCTGAAGAAAAAGCAAAAAAAAATCTCACAATTCAAATGTTCTTATGGGACTTTTGCCCCACGGATTAGGTTGTATCCCTTGGTCCTTTTTTTTTTTTTTTTTTGCAATATTATTTCAAGATTTGGCAGATCTCTTGCCTGGCTGATACCAGTTTTCCAATTCGATACCAATTCTGCAACATTGCATTTTCTGTTCTGCTCAGAGCTTCTAACCAGGCAAGATGGAGTTGCAAAAAAATAATAATTTCTCAGCCTTTGCTTTCCTCAAATAATTCATACGGAGACATGGCCTTAGCTGAACAGCTAGTTTGTGTTTTATGTTTTGGGATATTCTCGAGAAAAGTGATAAGTATCAGAAGATCTCAATATAATATTATGAAATGTTGCAATTTTTTTTACTTATTGTGCTTTTTCTGCTACATTGGTAGAACTTTCAGTTGCATCTGGCAATATTATACAGTGCCTTTGAAGCTTAATTTAAATATTTAAAGTAATATATAATTATTTCAATAGGGAGTGAAGAATCTATGGAGATTCTTTGTATGCTTAGTTAAAGTACTGGAAAGGGACATTGGGAGATTAGTCTTGATTATTTTGTCAGAGACAGCTTACAAGCTATGAAAGTTGTCGATTTGGAGCACCAAAGATCAAATTAATAGTTAAAATTAGTATGTGTTGGTAGTGGGTGGAAAAAGAGAGATACCCTTGTAATGAAAATACTAATTAGATGATTACAAACATTTGCTTGTTCTGAACTTTGATTTTGCTCTGTGTGTTTCTTAAAAAAGAATAATATTCTAAAGAACACAGGTTGTCCTTGACTTACAACAGTTCATTTAGTGACCAAAGTTACAACAGTACTGAAAAGAGTGATGCATGACCCTTTTTCACACTTAAGACTGTCACGCTTATGATCAAAATCCGGATGCTTGGCAACTGACTCGCATTTACGACCGTTGCAGTGTCCCGGGCTCATATGATCCCCCTTTTGCGACCTTGGACTAGATGACCTCCAAGGTCCCTTCTAACTTTATTATTATTATTATTATTGTCAGGGGGGAAGCCAGATTCACTTAACAACTGTGAGATTTAACAAGTGCAGTGATTCATTTAACAGACGAGGCACGAAAAGCCGTAAAATGGGGCAACACTCACTCAATGCATTTCTCATAGCCACATAAATGTGGGGGTCAATTGTCGTAAGTCGAGGATTGCCTGCCTTAGCTTTAGTGCAGGGTCTGCCTATAGGAAGACCGTTCCAAAATTAGCAAGCAAGTATTCACAAAATGAAGTGCTTGTTACCAGCAAAAGGATTATAACACCTTGTAAAATGGAAGGTTGCTGGGTTTAAAACAGGGCAGGACTATTTCAAAAAGGGCCCCACGCCGATGGCGAAATGGAGTTCTAACCCAGTCTAATTTGGTGACTTTGGGCCAATCAAAATCGGCGTGTCGAGGGTTGGGGTGAAAAAATCTGCACGAAAGACGGGATGTACAAACTTCACGACTTTTCTCTTCCTTTCTCAGGTACGTTACCGCCGAGATCATCTCTCCAGCCGACAGCTGCCCTTTTTCCCGTTGCTTGAAGACCTGATGAAGGATTGTAGCGATGGGGCAGCTTTACTGGCTGTAATCCATTATTATTGCCCTGAGCAAATGAAGCTCGATGGTAGGTCGATAACAGAGTTTAAAAGAAACCTGGTTTCCTGAATGGAATGTTAGGGGATACCAAAGGAATAGGCAGCTGTCAGACCCTCCCTACCCTGTATAACGGTCAGTCCAAGCATCCTTTGGTATGTAGCTCCCTCCTTCTTCCAGCTGGGTGACCTTGAGGCAGCATCTGGAGGAGATAGAGCACTTACTTCCATTTCCCCAAGCGTTCCCTTCTTTGGTTCAACCTCCCCACAGTTCACGGCAGTTTATCACCGCATAGCAGCGAAGCACAGGCAAGCATAAGGTGGCAGCTGACAGTGACACTTGATTAATGGTGGTGTCCCTTATAACTCTTATCATATTCAAGGAAGTGTTGATTGCAGTGGAGGATATTTAGCTCCGGTTTGAAGTATCTTTCTGGCTAAAATCAACAGGGCAAAATTGCTTCATCTTTGCTCAGATCAGATTTCTGCAGATCCGTTTCTTTGCCTTTATGGACCGTACTGATGCGCTCGGATTTGTTGTGATCGATAAGTTTCTTAAACAAGGCTCCCTGTCGCCGTTTTGGGACTTGGACAAAGAAGTTTCCATCTCAATGCAGCCTCCAATCGGAAGGGACCAATGCACCATAGCCAACTCACCACGGGACAATTTTAACAATTCAGTTAAGTCTAAATCTTGTCCCACAGCGAGTTGGCTGTGCTAAATTGTCGTAGACACACACACACACAAACACACAAGCTGGCATTTTCTGGATGTGCTCGGCGTTTCGAGTCTTAGAATTTCTTTAGGGAAATCTTAAAATTGCAGCCTTCAAACAGCGAAAGGTGTCAGGCTTTCTGTTAGGGAACATCCTGGGATCCAAGAGGCTATTTTGGGGGTAATTCTCTTGTTTCTTCCTTCCAATTGCTAGAGATTTGTTTGAAAGAGGTCACGTCGATTGCGGACAGCATCTACAACATTCAGCTCCTTCGAGAATTTGCAAACGAGTACCTGAACAAATGCTTTTACCTTACCTTGGAGGATATGTTGTATGCCCCCTTAGTTCTAAAGGTAAGAGAGAGGGGAGGTGCTTAACACGCTTTTCAATAAGGGGCAGGCGATCTGGTTTATATTCCTTTTTTTCTTCTTTCTTTCTTTCTTTCTTTCTTTCTTTCTTTCTTTCTTTCTTTCTTTCTCTTTCTTTCTTTCTTTCTTTCTTTCTTTCTTTCCCTAGCCCAATGTAATGGTGTTCATTGCCGAATTATTCTGGTGGTTTGAGAACGTCAAGCCGGATTTCGTGCGGCCCAGGGACTTCCAGGAAGTCAAAGATGGTGAGTAATTTGGATGGCGAGGATTCGTCAATGGAAAGCAAAACATTTTTTACAGTGGAATTGGTTTCCCTGTCTTTTACCCGGATGGATATTCTCAAGTCTTTCTTTTCAAAATGGCAAATTGTGTTTTGTTTTGGTTTTTTGGCCAAGAGGCTGAAAATGGCTAAAAAGGAGGGACTTTGGGCCAGTCCCCCCTCCCCCTTAGAGAGACTCAAACTCCTCAATTCCTTCTCCCCCCCCTTTGAAACCACTCAAAGGATCTGCCTGCTGGAACTAGAGAATTTATAAAAACAGCAGATTTTTCGCTGCCTTTCAGCCTTTCGCTTCTAATCTTTGAACATTTAGCCGATCCTTCGGGTGTCTTTTTTGAATGTTGGGGCTCCAGAAGGCTCTTGTCAGTTAAAACTAACCCTGGTAAACCAATGTTCTAGCTAAAACCATGTTGCATCAGAAAAGCAGTCGCCCTTCGGTACCCATTTCCAATGCCACCAAGCGGAGTTTCATGGCCAGCCCAGTGGTCTCCAGTTCCGCCGACCTGCAGCCTCCGAGTCAAGTCCCGCCAGAGACGTGCAACAGGTAATTATGAATATCCTGAAGTATTTTGATGATTTGGAAGTCCTTTGTTCTTTCCCTCGAGTCCTTGTCTCCTCGAGTTGAAAACGGGCGCACTTTGCAGGAAAAAACCCGAGGCAACGTCGCCAAGCAGGTGAAGTGGGCAAAGGGGAGTTTAAGGAGGCTCCCCGTTTCAGCCGCTTGACAGGAAAGCTGTTCTCAGAATTTATTTTACGGATTTATTCCTTACGTCCCTGACCCAAATAATTTGGGCTCTCCGGCTGTCCCACGTTCCTCTGGGATAATCTTCATCCTTGCGTCTGAACTGCTCTCTGCGGTGACCTTGTGGGCCTGTTTTCTCGTCTCAGTCGCTTCCTCCTCCCTAGCTAAGCGACGGTAATTAATTGTGAAGAAAGAGCTCTTGAGGACTAGATTCTTATTCACTCTTCATGTTTTCCTCGCCCGTTCTGTTTGAGAAGAGAAAAAAATAAAGCCTCTGAAAAACTGACTGAGCTCTGGTGTGTTTTCCAACAGTGGCAAAGGAAGCCCTGCCTTCAGCACATCACACTCATTGCTGCCTTTAAGGCAGAAGCAGCAAAAGTCCCTACAGGGGGAAGAAACTTCAGGTAATTGGTACAATTCCTGTTCTCTGAGAGGGGGGGGGGCAGTCTGATCACTGGAGGAATGACATTTTAGAGGTCAGGTGCCATGCAAGTCATCCTGCTTAATAATATGCCCTTATTATACCTCTATTTTTCCACCTGCCCCAGTTACCTTACTGGGAGCTTCTAATACCTTTCAAAAGCCAATTAAAGATCTGTCTCTTCCTGGGTCAGAAAGCGGTCCGATCCTGTGAGACAAAGTTCTGCTCCATGTCCTTAATGTTTTCATGCATCTATTATTAATTCACTGTGTTATTTTTATATGGACTTAATTTGAGGTTTACTAGTTATTCAGGCTGTCCTAAGTTGCCCGCTTAGTAGGGCCATCATATAAATAGAACAAATATGTTGTATTTAAGGATTTAAATAACGGCAAGTGTGCTTGTAGTAAAACATTGTGTGATTTCTTGGGTGTTTTTATTTTAGATCAACGGCATCGGTCTAATTCCTTGACTCGGGCAGATGGGCAGCCTCGGGATTCGATTCTGGCGTGGCCAGAGAAGAAGCAAAGGTACTCCCCTCCCCATCAGCTGTTTTGTGGATCAGGCCGATTTAAAACAAGATGGTCTGCGCTGAGGTTGAACCAAATAATCAGTGACCGATTTCAAATCCCTGAGCATCACTTGTTAAAGGCAGCAAACTTCAGTGGCTACCTGTAAACCCGTAAGGCTTTTTTTAGACATCACAAGTATATTTTTATTAGTCCAGACTTGGTCAACTCTGATATAGTGCTCTTTTTCCCTTTAATTTGTACTCTGTTTGATAAAATAGTTTTATCTTTTTTTTAAATATTGTAAACCATCCAGTTACCCTGTGGTAAGCTGGGCGGCCAATACTTTTAATAAATAAATGATAGAGAGATATAGATAGATAGATAGATAGATAGATAGATAGATAGATAGATAGATAGATAGATAGATAGATAGATAGATAGATAGATAGATATAGAAATAGAGAGCTTTAAATATAGATAGATAAATCTAGATAGATGTAGATATATAGATATAGATATAGATATATATTTTCTCCCCAAAGCACACTTCTAACAGTTGTCTCTTTTAGGCCTCTTTCACAACCTACACCGTTCGGTCTTCACCACGCGGCGAGCAGTGACGCAGACCCCAGCTCTGGCGATAGCATTAGCTTGGCGAGGTCCATCAGCAAAGACAGCCTGGCCTCCAACGTTGTCAACATCACCCCGAAACAGCAGCTCTCCTCTGCCCCCGTGAAAAGCAGCGGGAAAAGCTTGCTGAATAACGTGGAGATCGAGGACGACGAGGAAGAACTGATTGCCATCATTCGGCCTGAAGCCACCCCAAACCACAGCAGCCTGGAACTTCAGTGCGGGCCGGCTCGATCGCCTGGTTTTGCCGGCACCGCCTGGACTCAGAAATCGCCAAGCGAGTCTTCGGAAAATAAGCCGGAGAGTTTTTTCCTGGAACCGTTAATGCCCGCCCTTTTACGGCCAGCCAAGGAGAAGCAGGTCATCAATAAGGAGGACGAATGCGGAGAAGGGAAAGCCAGAGGTTATGTGACCAAAAGACTGAGCGAAGGGCACACGGCGTTGGCCCGTAAGAAAACCAATAGCAGTCACAGCGATCACAGCCTTAACAGGACTTTCAGCGTGGCTTCCAATTCTGAACTAACCGTGATTGCGGGTCCCAGTTTGGCCGAGCCTCTGGTGCACTCCGACGTCAGGATAGAGCCCTTTTGTCCCCAAGCAAGCAGCAGCGTGGAGCCCTCCTCTCAGGAGCGGCCTTTGGTGGGGTTCTTCCTGCACGCTGCCAAAGCAGAGGAGGCCGTGTCCGGCAGCACCAACCTTGGTTGTCCCAAAAGCCCCAATTCCCACCTTGCGGAGACCTCGTGGACGATGGTTCGACAAAACTCTGACTCGTCCATCCTAGACATGGAGGAGGCCGACCAAGACATGGTGGCCGAGGACCACCCTCTGATTGCCAAGTACATAGGAGAGGAGGAATCGGCCAAACTTCAGGAAGACATGAAGGTCAAGGAGCACGAAGATAAAGACGACGCCAGCGGGCGGTCCAGCCCGTGTCTGAGCACCATCTCCCAGCTGAGCAGCGTCTCCATGACAAGCGGGAGCGCCCGGATGACCAGCTTTGCCGAGAGGAAGTTTCAACGGCTGAACAGTTACGAAACCAAATCCAGCACCAGTAGCTCTCAGAAAACCACCCCGGATGGATCCGAGTGTTGTCCGCCTCCGCTCACCACCTGGAAACAGAGGAGGGAGCAGAGTCCCACCAGACAGAGCAAAGACAACGTGAATGTCTTGGCCTCTGAGCTGGTCCAGCTGCACATGCAGCTGGAGGAGAAGCGGAGAGCCATCGAGGCTCAGAAGAAGAAGATGGAGGCCCTCTCAGCCAGGCAGCGGCTAAAACTAGGCAAGGCGGCCTTCTTGCATGTGGTGAAGAAAGGCAAGGGGTCGGAGATGTCTCCACCCCTGAAGCCGGAACACTTCGCCAAGGAGTTCTCCGGCCACAACGGGGAAGGCCTGGAGGAGGACGCTTTGAGTTCCAAAACGGAGGCGTTCCTTACGAAAGAGGAAGCGGGCGAAGACGAAATTCCCAAGGGGAAGGTTCAGGAAACGGTTGGCTTTGTGGAGGAGAACATTCCCAGAGAGCCGGCCCTCCACGAAATCGAGAAAAGCAAAATGATCTCCGCCGCTCTGCTAGAAGAGAACCTGGAATCGGCTGACTTCGGCGAATGCGACCTCTCCATCGAGAAGCTGAACGAGACCATCAGCACCCTTCAGCAGGCCATCCTGAAGATCTCTCAGCAGCAAGAACTTCTCATGAAGGCCCCAACCATGTCCTCAACGCGAGGAGGAGGAGGAGGAGGGTCTCAGGACCAAAAGATAAAAGCCCCCATTCACTTTGTGGAACCCCTCTCCCCTACTGGCACCAGTAATCTCCGCAAGCCACCCAGGCTCGGTCAAGGCCGGAGTCCCCGTTCGGGAAGGCCGTCTGAACTCAAAGTGGCCAAGGACCGTCCCCACACCACGCCTCGCATCAAGACCCCGACGCCCAGCGTCGACACCTTGCCCCATTTGAGACAGTTCCCATCTAACCATTCGCCCAAGGTGGAGATGGCTCTTGAAAACCACCTGGCTCCAGTGAGCTCTCCTCAGGAGAAGCTTTCCTTTGAGAATTACCGGCTCTGCGACGATAATCAGAGAGGGCCATTGGTTTTGTCCTCTTCCAAAGACACCAACATCTTCACGGAAGCCCTCAAAGATGTGAACAGCAACGTGGAAGGCTTTCACCTGGCTTGCTTCGAGGTCTCGGGCAAGGAGAACGTCCGGGTGGAAGAAGCTTCCAAGAGCAAAGGTAGCCTCATCGAAGTGGACCTCTCGGATTTAAAAGCTGTCGACGAAGAAGTGGAAAGCCAGGGCAGTTCTTCGGATTTAATGAACGAAACAGATCAGAAATCAGGAGTCGGGTTCTTCTTCAAGGTAAGGACCCACCAAAACCACTTGGAATAATTCCAGGTTCCTATCCTGCCTGGAGACCGGAGTGCAAGTTAGAAGATATTTTTATTTGGCAAAATGATTGCATCATGTCATTTGGCGTGTTTTGGATTTTTTTTTGGGGGGGGGAATGTTTTCAGAGCGAAGTTGTAACCTTGCAGGTGTTTGTGTTTGGAGAAATGGTTTTGGAGTGAAGTTGTAACTTTCTGTCGACTCACATTTAATCGCACTAGGGAGTCGGTGGCAATTTTTTGCTCAGGATGTATCTACATAATGTTACAGTCAAAAGTATTTTTGTTAGGAGGATACTGTTTAAGGGAAAATGTAGCTAATCTGAACACGGTCTTGTTTCTCTTTCTGAAAACCACAGTATATTGGAAGTGTTCCCTAATCTGGACTTTAATTCTTACAATTTCCAAGCCAACATTGGCATGGCAGAGAACTCTGGAAGATGGAAGACCACAGATTGGGGACATCGCAGCTGGAAGAAGGCTGTGTTAAAACTTTTGTAATTAACTAGGGCTTTACTATCATTTCGGGTGCAATCATTAAAGGGAGATGGGGAAGACGTTTTATTGAGGCGTTGATGTGACCAGTAGGAGCTAGTTGATTTATTATATACGTGTGTGTGTGTGTGTGTGTGCTGTTTATTCCCCCCCCCACACAGAGGTCAAAATTGCAGACTTAGGAATTTCCATATCTGCTTAGTTGAACCTGGGATAGTCAAAGACCAAAATAAAAATGCCGTATTGTTTAGTTTAAAAACGTTCGGATTCTGAGAGTAATATCAAAGATTCCAAAAGGGATATCAGGGTCTTGGGAGATCTACTAGCTAGCCCAAGAGTTAACTACTGGAGTTTATTGTAAACCGACGAAAGGACAATTGCACGGTTAGGAAAGCCACCGTCCGTGTATTTTCTCCGTTATCGATCCGGGCAATATTTGGACATTCCTCCTTTTTTTTCCCAGGACGAACAAAAAGCCGAAGATGAGCTGGCGAAGAAACGGGCTGCTTTTCTCTTAAAACAGCAGCGCAAGGCCGAAGAGGCCCGGCTTCGGAAACAGCAGCTGGAGGCAGAAGTTGAACAAAAGAGGGACGAAACTCGGTAAGTACCTTTTTTTTTTTTTTTTTCTCCCTTCCGTAAGGAAGGAGAAAGAAGTCGGAGCTGGTTGGAGGCTACTTCCCCACTTCCTTTGACTTCCTCTCTCCCTCCTTTTGAGAGTCTGGAATCCCTCCTTATTTTTTTGGGCAGACGCAAAGCCGAAGAAGACCGTCTGCGGAAGGAAGAGGAAAAAGCCCGCCGGGAACTCATCAAACAAGAGTATTTGCGGCGAAAGCAGCAGCAGATTTTGGAAGAGCAGGGGTTGGGGAAGCCCAGGCCTAAAGCGAAGAAGGCGCGGCCCAAGTCGGTCCACCGGGAGGAATCCTACAGCGATTCAGGCACCAAGTGTTCCTCTACCCGTAAGGCACAGCCCCGCTTTTAGCCTTGAGTGGATCCGAGGATGCTCCTAATTGTTTCGCTGTATTTACAACCTCTCTCCTTTCTTCCTCCGGTCAGCTGATAACCTGAGCAGCGCCCAGTCGGGGTCCAGCTTGTCCCTAGCATCGGCAGCGACAACCGAGCCCGAGAGCATCCATTCAGGGGGCACCCCTTCCCAAAGGTAGGACCACCCGTCAGCAAGACAATTTGGGAATAAAAGAGGGATATTTCCCTTTTTACTGCCTTGTTTGACCGTGATCCAAGAATTTCAACGGATGGGTAACTACGTTTCCCCTTTAGAAGAACAGGGAGTCCTCGACTTACAGTCACAATTGAGCCTCAGATCTCTGTTTGCTAAGCAAGACATTTGTTTCGTGAATTTTTGCCCCATTTTACGACCTACCTTGCCACAATTGTTAAGTGAAATCTCCCTTGGTTTTGATTGTCAGAAGGTCGCAAAAGGGGATCACAAGCTCCCCCCCCCCAGGGGACATTGCAACCCGTCATAAATGCATGCTGGTTGCCAGTTGGCTGAATGTTGATCGTGTGACCACAGGGATGCTGCAGTGGTTGTCAGTGTGAAAAAATGGTCGTAATTTTTTTCCCCAGCGCCGTTGTAACTTCAAACAGTCACTAAGCGGATTGTTGTAAGTCAAAGACTATCTGTACATGTGAAAAATAACCACCAGGAAATGTATGGGCTTTCTGCTAACTCATCTGTAGAAAGATTATTATTATTTTTTTCAGCTACCCTTCAAAAAAATCTAGAACAAAGTGTATTTCTATCCAGCTGATTGATTTATTTATTTTTAATCTTTTTGGCAATAAAAGAAGTGAAAGCAGCTTAATTTAGATGGCAGGTTTTTCTCTTTCTTGGACTGGAGATGATCCAGGTGAAAATATGTGTGTGTGTGGGGGGGGTCCATGGTGCTCTCCGAGCTTGGTTGTTTTCTTTCAGACCTTTTGTGACCCAACTAGGTAGCCTAGTCAGTGCCAGCGAGTGGGACTCGCTCCCTGTTTATAAACCGTAGCTCTGCGCTTGCTCGTTTTCTTGCCGGCGTTTCATTACCAAACTAGGTAACAGCACTGATGATGTTATCTAGTTTGGGTCACGAGACATCTTCAGGAAAACAAGCAAGCTCGGACACCACCGAGGACCCCTTTTATCATCCGAGCCTCAAATAATCATCTTTATTGAAAATATACGGACTGTGGGATTGTGTTTCTTCTGGCAGAGTGGAGTCCATGGAATCCTTGCCCGTCTTGAGCAGGAACGCAAGCCGAAACATGGAGCGCGACTGGGAGAACACGTCGACCGCCTCCTCAATTGCTTCCGTGGCAGAATATACAGGTGAGTGGATCCATCTAGCTTAGCAGTTTCCATACAGCCTCTAAAGTTGATCCGTGTCCACCGTCCCAAAATGCCAGCCAGCAGCAGAAACTTCCTGAGACTTTTGTTTTTTTCCCTCCTTTACTGAAAAGCCATGTGGGTACAGAAGTGGAAAGGCCAGTTCTAACATTTTGTGTGCAAAAAGCATAAGATAATTCCTCTTTCCTCCCCTCTGGTTCTCCCATTGTCTTTTGCCCACCCATCGGTTGCACCTGGGTGGTTTTGAGAACGATCTGTCTGCTTTGGACAGCGTTCCCAGAATGGATGGCTTTGGAGTTGGACGTTTCCAGACCACCCTCACATTCCCTCTCCCCCTCCTCTTATTGTTGTCCGGTTGCGAACGGGCTGCGTGGCGAGTCAGCCAGGACAGTCCCTCGCCAAAAGAGAAACGACGTCCTTGTTGAGTGGGAGATTTCAAGTTCGCCCCCCGTTTTGAAACCAAAGGGCGAGGTGGACGAGTGGACGGAGCTGTTAGCTTGGTTCGATAACCAGGAATGTTTTCCCCTGCTTACAAAACTATCTCTTTCCAGGCCCGAAGCTCTTTAAGGAGCCCAGCAGCAAATCCAACAAGTCCATCATTCACAACGCCATCTCCCACTGCTGCCTTGCTGGAAAAGTGAACGAGCCTCATAAGAATTCCATCCTGGAGGTGAGTCTTTCTCCGGAGTCTGTTGGTCATCTGTTAACTGATCGTCATCTGTTAAAGGAGACTAGATTGGCTCCCAGTTTTCTTGGGGGGGGGGGGAAGTGCTGGACAGACTTTTCCCCAAGATCTGCCCAGGATGCATGAACCGAAACGATAGGGGTGATGGCTTGGTGTAATGTTTTCCAGCCTTTCCAGCTGTCATGAATTCGAGAAATCATAGTTCAAACTAGATGTAGCGTCTGTGGGGCTCCATCCAATGACAATTGTCCAGTTACAAGGCTGTACTTTGGAAGCCTAGCTTGGAGCTGCTGGCCCACCTCTTAGGTCTGCATGCTGTTCACAGTGGTGTAAATTCCTAGAATACCGATAGCAGAGAATATTTGTACCAGAGGATAGAACTTCAGAGTCCTTGGTGCTCTCTTGAGTTTGGTTGATTGCTGGCAGACATTTCATTACTCAACTAGGTAACACTGCTAGAAGGGAGTTGGGTGTGTGAAGAGGAGGAGAAGGGGAAGAGGAGGACCAGGACTGTGGGGTCCTTGGTGCTATCTGAGTTGGTGGTTTCCTTGTAGACCTCTCCTGACCCAACTGGATAACAACATCAGTGCTAGAAAGGAGTGGGGTCTGTTGAGTGGAGGAGGAGGAGGAGGAAGAGGACTGTGGGGTCCTTGGTGCTCTCTGAGCTTGGTGGTTTCCTTGCAGACCTCTCATGACCCAGCTAGGTAACATCATCAGTGCTAGAAGGGAGTGGGGTCTGTTGAGTGGAGGAGGAGGAGGAAGAGGACTGTGGGGTCCTTGGTGCTCTCTGAGCTTGGTGGTTTCCTTGCAGACCTCTCATGACCCAACTAGGTAACATTATCCATGCTAGCAGGCCATGAGGTTTGCCCTCTTCATTACCAACCGAACCAAGGGCCCCTTGAACCCTTCGCTTTTCCCGGCCCTCAATCTCCTCTTTCTTCCCGCAGGAGCTCGAAAAGAGCGAAGCCAACCACTACATCATTTTATTCCGTGATGCCGGCTGCCAGTTCAGAGCACTTTACTGCTACTATCCCGACACCGAAGAGATCTCCAAGCTGGTCGGAACGGGCCCAAAGAGCATCACCAAGAAAATGATCGACAAGCTGTACAAGTACAGCTCGGACAGAAAGCAGTTTAACCTGATCCCGGCCAAAACCATGTCGGTCAGCGTAGACGCTCTGACAATTCACAACCACTTGTGGCAACCCAAGCGGCCCGCCGTGCCAAAGAAGACCCAGAATCGCAAATGACACTCGGCTTTGGCGAGGGACTGGGCTAGAGTTCACCGTCGGGGGGATCGTAACCGAGCGGAACCATAAATCCCCCTTTTTTAAAAAAGCAAGCAAGCAAGCAAGCAGCTTCTTAAACAAAGATGCAAGGACGGTGTGACGGAACGACGTGGTGTTCTTTTTTTCAGGACGCAACTGGTTTGGTTTGAATGCTTAAAAAAAACAACAACAACTGGCTGTTACACCCCTGGCTAAAGTCTTGCCGCTTTTCATGAGATGAAAGTGCTCCTGGCGAGACCCGAAGCTGGGGATTTACTGGGGTTATTTCTGGGTTTTTGGTTTTTTTTTTACTTGAAGCTCTTCATTGGTACCAGTTGGGAATCCTCCTTCCTTTCTTTCTTTCTTTCTTTCTTTCTTTCTTTCTTTCTTTCTTTCTTTCTTTCTCTTTCTTTCTTTCTTTCTTTCTCTTTCTTTTTCTTTCAATCCTTCACTCCTGCAAAAAAAAAAAAAAAGCACGCTGTCTCTCAAAGTTGGCAAAGCTGCAGTTCTAGGCGGGAAAAGAAGGAAGAACTGGGCAACAGAGGCGAGGTGCTTTTTGTTTTCAGAAGAACCCTTTAGGGGGAAAAAAGTGACTTTTTCCCTTCTGGATTACTCGTAAGGATCTCACGTTGACCTAACGTACCGCATTTTACTGCCAATGTTAAGCTAGGCTCTCATTTCTGGAGGGTGTGTGTGTGTGTGTGTGTGTGTGTGTAAGTAAAGGGAAGCCCATCCTACCACACTACCCACCCTCAGCTCAGTTTACCTATAGTATCAGTTTCTTGAATCACAATGCACTGAGAGATGTCAAATCAAGTCTTTTTATTTATTTAATGGGAACAGAGGACATATGCAAGAATTGCGATGGCTTGCGAACTTTCAGGCAACACAATCATGAAGAAGCAGATAGGTGCTAGCAGCTGGATTAGCTCATTTGAAACTTGACATGGCAAAAAAAACCCTGGATTTTCATAACCTCATCTTCCCTCTGCTATTTTTGTTTCCTTGTTTGGTCTTTTTAAATAAAGACAGACCCTAGGAATAGTGGAATGTTTTTTCACTCCCGAGCACGTTAAACTTCTCCGTTGAATGGTGCACTCAGTTATCACCGATATTCCGATGCTTTTTTAAAAAAATAATAATAATAATCATGTCCTGAAAACTGTAACGCTACTTTGTCCTGTCCTGTCCTGTCTGTCTGTCCTTTGCTGGATGAGCGGCATGCTCTTAACGAGGCGAGTGCGTTCTCTTTTTTCTCTTTTAAGTTTTCTGCGGGAGCTCTTTTTAATTTGGGAGGGGACGCAATTAGACAAGTGACCTACAAAAAGCCAACTCCCTAGGACTAGCAAGTTTTTAAACAATTTTTGTGTTTGGTTTGAAAGCTGAAAAGCGGCTTTGGGGTTTGTTTGTTTTTTTCCCCTCCTTCCTCTCCCTTTTCATCTTGCAAATATTAAATCTCGAGTTGAAACCTTTAAACCTGTGTGTGTTTTCACCTTCAAAGAAAACAACCCCTTTTCACAACTGGGAAAGATGCAGAAAGCTTTGATGATGATGTGTTTTAAAATGTCTCTTCTTCCCCCCATTCTCTCCGCCTGATAAAAATTGGGTAGTTTTTATCCTTTATCAGGTTCCCCAAACTTTTCTTTTTTTGGAGACTTTTTACCCCTTGGACATATTTTTTTTTCTGACATTTTGGTTTGCACATGTTCACTTCTACTTGAAATGTTACTTGAAGACCTCTTCTGAGTCGTGCAAAGACGCTCTTTTTCTAACACTAGAGAAGAACAAGATGAAACACACACCCTTGTGTCATTATTTATGCTCCTGGGAAAATAATAATGGGATAGAAAGTGACTTTTGTATAGAGCGGGACGAGAAATGGCGTATTTAACCCTAAGCTAGGAAAGGAGGGGGTGGGGACAAAAATCAGAATGGTCTTCCGTGGTGGCCATTTGGTTGGTTCTCTTCCCTCAAGCCTTTTGTTTTAAATAGATTGTACATTTTGTTTGATAGTCGATTACCTTGTAAATAAGGGTTCGTTTCTAAAATATTCAAGAGTATTCAATGTGGTTGTGAGCAATATTATTATTATTATTTGGTTACATGCTTTTCATGCTTGATTTTTCTCACTGTTTGATATACGACATATTTATTTTATGGAAGCACTGAAATAAAGATCATCATCCTGTTTTTTGTTACCCCATGCACTTTTTTTGTGTGTGTGTATGTGTGTCTGTGGTTAAGCATGTGCCAACATATGCATGAGGCTTTAAAGATGTGTTTTCTTATGTTCCTGCATGCCGTGGGCTAGTTAGTTCCTGAAGCTCCTATACAAACTGCCACCAAGTTATAACTTTGAGGCCAGAGATTTTAAAAGATGTTACACATTGCACATGGAAGACTTTTCATTTTGGCCCACAGGGGTGAATTACCTTTAACTCCGTGGTTCTCAACCTTTTCTTCACCACGAACCCCGTTTCAATACAATTTGCGGCCACGGACCCCCAAGACTTAACTGGAGATTTAAATCATAACATTTGTTCAAGCCTTGGTGGACCCTCCGAGTCCATTCATGTTTAGCTTAGGAAATTAAATTAAAGCACTTAGGTGTCTGGTTTCTGACCTAACACATCTAATAAATAGCAATAGGTCTTAGACTTACAGTATGTACTGCCCCATAGTGTTTTACAGCATTCTTGTAAGTGGTTTACAGAATCAGCATCTTGCCCCCCAACAGTGTGGGCCCTCATTTTACCCACCTTGGAAGGATGGAAAGCTGAATCAACCTTGAGCTGGTCAGGATCGAACTGTGGGCAGTGGGCAGTGTTAGCTTTCAATGCTGCATACTAACCACTGCACCACTAGGACTCCTAATAAAGTGGAGCCCATCATTTCTTTGAGTAATAGGTCCCCTTACTGAACCCACTGTTTTATTTTTATTTTGCTTAAAGTTTAACTATAACTTGCCTTTCTGAGATTTAAATGCATTAGTCCACATGCTGTATTTTTGACCAGGCATTTAGCCTCTCCTCTGTCATGGGACATTCAGGAGTCCTGCAGTTGTCCTTTTTAATTTCATTGTTACTTTCAATTCCACTGTTCCATTACCTATTGACTATCCGGACATTAAGCAAAACTTAATGTCCATAAAGCGTTAACAGCATAAATGCAAAACTTCAGTCGAAATGCGTGAAATAAATGGATTCCTCCTTGAATGGATCCTAACTGCAAAAAAAAAAAGGGGGGGGTTGAAATTGAGCTAAGCAAAGAATACATTTTATAGGAAAGGAGGCTGTCTATCCCTAAAGCCAATATTTTTACGATGGATAATTCTACAGCTTTAACAAGGTAAGCCAGGAGATAGCCAAGGGAACAGAAGCAGCATTCTTGGGCGAAATGGTTAACTTATTTACAGCTAATGGAGAAACTCCATGGTGATGCTATGGAGATTCAACTCAGGTTGCCCATTCGTGCGGCCACATGGACAGATGGAGAAGACCCTCCCCCCCCCATGGAAGTGAGGAACTCAACACGCAGCAGGTTTCAACTTGTTTCGGTCCTGAAACGAGCTTCAGGCATAATCCGGGAGGTTTTATGAAGGATTGGTGCCCGCTATTCTTGTAAAAGCGCTTTAATGCTTTGAGAAAGAAGACGGTACACAAGTTTGCTTGGTAAGGAGAAGTTGGCCAAGATGAAATGTAAGTGGTCCTGTCTTGCTTTCATTGTATATTTGTGTGTGGGGGGAATTGGCTCACAGGTGAAGCATTCTGTTCAGACAGAATAGACAGAATAACAGAGATGGAAGGGACCTTGGAGGTCTTCTAGTGTCCAATCCCCTGCTCAAGCAGGAAGCCCTATATAACATTCAGTCTGGAGGAGGGATCAGATCATCAGCATCGGCTCCGAATAGAATAGAATAGAATAGAATAGAATAGAATAGAATAGAATAGAATAGAATAGAATAGAATAGAATAGAAATAAGGAATAGAGTAGAGTAGAGTAGAATAGAATAGAATAGAATAGAATAGAATAGAATAGAATAGAATAGAATAGAATAGAATAATAATAATAATAGACTAGACTAGACTAGATTAGACTAGACTAGAGTAGACTAGAGTGGAATGGAGTAGAGTAGAGTAGAGTAGAATAGAATAGAATAGAATAGAATAGAATAGAATAGAATAGAATAGAATAGAATAGAATAGAATAGAATAATAATATTAAACTAGACTAGACTAGACTAGATTAGACTAGACTAGACTAGACTAGAATAGAAGGATGATTGTCCAGTCTCTTTTTAAAAACTTCCAGCGATGGAGCGCCTCCAATCTCTGGTGGCAAGCTGTTCCACTGGCTGATTGTCCTCACTGTCAGGAAAGTTCTCCTTAATTCCAGGTTGCTTCTCTCTTTGATCAGCTGCCAACCATTGTTTCTCGTCCTTCCCTTTGGGAAGGAACATCAGACGATTCTATTAGAGCCCTTAACTTGAATCAACTAGTAACCAAATCAATCTGATTCAGAAAGTTAGTTCAATTGGAAAGATAAATCTCCCCCCCTAGTCTTTCAGGAACTATTGGATCAGCTTGATTCCAAGAACCATTCTCTATAAATCTCAGATGAATGGCAAAAGTGTTGGATAGAAAAAGCTATGTTTATTTGTAGAAATATACCTTCTCCCCTTATAAATGCAAAAGGATCATTTCTCTTGTCCTTGAATATATTGGTCAGTGAAAGATCCAGCATCTGGCCCATTAACTGATTGTTTTACACCCTTTAAGAACTGCTATCTCTCTTTTGAAGGAAGAAAAGGAGAAGCTGTTAGGAACAAAGGGCTATCCTCTGGGGAAGAGATGCGGTTGGCTAAACTATTCGACACATACTCTTTCTCCTTGATAAGAGAATTCAGACTGACCAACAAAAGCACCCCGACTGTTAAAACCGAAAGGGTTTTGTTAACGTTAATAAGGCATTCCTGCAATTAAACAAAGACCTTTTTCTATTTTACAAGTCTTAAGGTGCTTTTTCAAAAGCATTGTTTTTCTCCTGAGGGACCAGTTGCGTTGTGCATCAGTTTTACAAGTCGGTGCCATTTGCTGAATTGAACATTGTTTGGGTACTATTTGTGTTCAGACACCGTCCAGCCTCTCCTTGTTTCCTTAGGGATCCTTGGATTCACTTTGCTTTGGACTTCCTTTGGGCTGTCTAGGTTGCAGTGTGTCCTGGAGAAAGAATACTTCTGCTCTTCCATCCCAAATGGTGAGACCTCTTCCAAAGATGATGTGGGAAGAATCCAGAGAAATTAATATTTGGGGCAATATTAAAAAGGCAGAGTATATTTCCCCCAAAGGATTTTAAAGGCAGAAACCGACACACACACAAGTCTCCCTGCCCCAAACAGAAACCAGGTCTGCAGAAATGCAGATGTAATAATCCTGTCAGAAAGATTGGAGTCAGGAAACTGGGATTAGGAAGAAAGATCCCTGGAATCAACAATCCCTCACACCCCCAAAAAATCCAACAATCATCAGCCCCATCTCCAGGGAAGCAGGATATGACCTTTGGGATATAATAGGGTTGGGGTAGAATACTCAAGCATGTTGTAGGCAACACAAATTGCTTATAAAATTGCTTTGGAAAAAAAATCTGTTAAATATTTCTCTTCCAGACTTCCCTGCGGGCCTCACATCCATTCTCTTTGTGGTAACCAATCTGGGGGTTCTCAACTCCACCGTCTTCAAGAGTCCAACTTTGTCCTCTGTCACCAGCCTTGCTTTAGCGAACAGCGGCATCAGCAAAATTGAACCCGGTGCGTTTCGTGCTTTCCAAGGCCTCACTAAACTTAGTCTCTATCAGAACAGCCTAACTTATGTGACAGCATCTTGGCTCTCCAAGCCAGGCCTACTGGAGAACCTCACGGTGGCCCAGAACCTCATGACCAAAATTGGACCTGAGACGGTCTCTGGCTTCTCCAACCTCACCACCCTGAATGTAGCCAGCAATAAGATCTACAAAATCGCCAGCCGGAGCTTCGGAAGCTTATCCAAGCTCACGTTCCTCGACCTTTCCGGCAATAATTTAACCAGCTTAACAAGAAATGTGTTTGGTGGGATGAGAAGGCTGCCGGCGATGAAACTCGGAGGAAACCCGTGGAGCTGTCTCTGTGAACATCGGGATTCTGTATTGTTTCTTCGAGGTGCGACCGCTGGGAAATGTCGGCTTTTTAATAAGGAAAAAAAAAATCCAAGATTATAGAATAAGCTACTGATTTGTCTGCCCCAGGTATAATCTTAAAGTTCCACTGAAAGAGTGCTGTTAGGTTTCATGAATCGTCCCAAAGGTGCTTCTTCAAAAGGCAAATTGGACTTTGTTTTTTCTCGAAGATGTTTCGCTTCTCATCCAAGAAGCTTCTTCACTTCACTCAGTCAGAACTGAAGAAGCTTCTTGGATGAGAAGCACAATGTCTTCAAGGAAAAACAAAGTCCAGTTGCCTTTGGGACAACCATGACCTGGATGACTGAGAATCTCCATAGATGTTTCATGAACATGAACAAGAGAGGAATCAACCTGGAGTCCTTATATTCTCATAAATGGTTTAAGTCCAACCCCTCTTGAATTCCATTAACTCTTACGTAGTGCCAATTTAGTGCTGAAAATCAGTTGACTGGATGCTTGTATATAGGCTTAAGCAATAAATCTTAACTGGAACTAAATGAATGATCCTGTTCCTTCGTGCCTAACATCACAACTATGGAGTGAGCCCTACCAATGGTGGCTTGGTCAGCAAACCACGGTGTTAGTACAATGTGCAAACTCAGACGTATCACGGTCTTCAACAACCTAATGCCCTGCTTTGGGATATTGTTTGTTTGTCTTTTTACAGAGCTGTGCAACATGTCACTGCTCCAAGATGCTACTTCTGTCATATGTCACAGTCCACCAAGCATGAAAGGGATCCAAGTCTGGAACATCTCCAGCTTCAATTGCACACCAGAATCCCTGTCAACAACTTTGGGGAACAGCTTCTATCAAACTGGACTGCCGGCTTTGCTGGCTTGTTTAGGTATTCCTGTTAGTGAGTTTCCAACTATTCCTGATGCTACTTTACTATAGGAGGTTAAGGTGGTGACTAAGGGCTGAGAAGACTCGGGACCAAGTCCATTTAAGCCATGGTAAATCATTGGGTCTGAGGCATCCTTGGTGCTCTCTTTTCTTGCAGACGTTTCATTACCCAAACTAGGTAACATCATCAGTGCTAGTCCTAGTATTGTTGATGTCCAGGGAAATCAGGCGATTCGGGCAGTTCAAATGAGTATAAAGATTTATTGCAAGCTTAAGCTCTCTACCAGAATCTGGTCACCTGGTGGTCAAGGGAAATGAGATCAGAGAGGCATTCAAAGTGGGCATCTTGTGGATGCGACCTGTGACTTATGACTCAACCTGGTCATCTCCTAAACTAGTTTGGGTACCGGTAATTGAAACATCTACAAGAAAACCACCAAACTCAGAGAGAACCAAGGACCCCTCATTTCAGCCCTGAGCTACAAATATTCTCCTTTATTGGTATCATTAAGTCTGTTGCATCAACTTAGACCAAATTATTAGAATGTTCTAGCAGCTAAAGGATATGTATATCTATATATCTATATCTACATCTACAACTCTATCTATCTATCTATCTATCTATCTATCTATCTATCTATCTATCTATCTATCTATCTATCTATCTATCACATTTTCCTTGGGCATATACCCAATGCCATTCTATTTTACACTACAACGTCTTTGGATTTTAGCATTCACCATTTTAAAAACTTGTGTCTTAGGCACCCAATCAGAATATTCTGTGCCTCTCCTGTTTCAATTTCTGCTATTGAATGCTTCATTTCAGAATGGGCACATGATTTGTTTTTGAGTTAATTGGCTTCCCTTCCTTTTTTTTTTTTTTTGGCAGTATTTATTTCCTTTCTCTTGCTGCTGTTTGGGATGTGGATGGTGAGATACGCCAGTAAACGGATCCGGCCAAGCCAGGAAGCCATGGAACCCTCTTCCACTACAACTCCGATTGATTCTGTAGAACCTCAACTCTCAGTTGGAGAGGATGAAAATGAAGAGAGAACTGCAGCTTTGGGGAACCGAACGTTGAAAATCCGTGCCAAGTCTGCCTCAGCCATTTTACTGAGAAAAGAATTCTACCAGCGACAGCAAAAGTCGACAGATGCAAACCAAGAACAATCAATAATGTCCTTCCGGTCCCAGAGTGACAGAACACATATTGAAAATGAGGACTTGCCTCCTTTTTCAGGACTGTGGAATTATCAGAAGCTGGAGGAAGTAGAGTCTCAGAGCCACGTCAAGGCAAACACAGTCATGGTAGAAGTAGGTCAAGATACTTCAGAGACCAAAGTTTCTTCTGAAGCCTCCGACCAAATAATCCAAGATAATGGAGAGTCTACCCATCTTGTAAAGGAAAACACGGTTCATCCTGAGCCCTTCCTGTATTTAAGTGTGACTACATTCCCTGAAGAACAGGCTGAGGTTCAACCCCAAAAGGATGTGACTTCAAAGAATGAGGGCCATGCATTGAAGCGGTCATTGACGTGGCCCTTTGAAAGGAAGGTTGGTGGTCATGGAACCAATGGGTTAAGCATCAGGGAATCTTTCACAGCCCAGTTTTTGCTCTCCCCTCTTCACTGTGGCAAGGTGTTGGAAGGGGAGAAACCAGAATTCGATCAGGAGTGGCTACATCTGTCTCCTAGAACGGAAGATCTTTTGTGCCTTGACGGCCAACAACGTGAGTCTGAATTAGACAATGAAACGGAGCCTCCATTTGATGAAGAATCAAATCCAGAAACTATTGCTAAGGCGACAGATGTAGGGGAAATGGAATTGGACAAAAGACTACAAAGCAAATACAATTCGCATACTAGCAACCAAGCCCACAATGAGAGAACAAAATTAGACTTCGAAGGAGAACCAGCCAATTTTTCAGAGTTGGCTCTTCGGAAAGGATTCAGCCAAGTGGTTCCTCCAAGGTTTATGCAGACTGCTCAGACTGATATCAAAGCAGTCAAGCTATCCTCAGGGCTAAAAACCAAACGATTTTCAAAGCCGGTGTCCTCTCCATCCAGAAACCTCAGGAAAGCCAACACATCCCCACCCTCAAGAATTCCTTTCACCCGCTCTTCATGTGAAGATGACAGCACAGTGCCGATGCACGAGTCTAAGTACATCAACCTTCTGCATGAAGTGGTGGAGAATCGGGGCCGGTGGACTCGGGAGCGATGGAAATTGACCCATCAGAACTCTGCTTTTCTCCAACCAGCCACCAAATCCATGTAGGTCCCAGTGGTCTTCAACGCAATTGCTCCAAACATGGAGACAACCAAAAGGACTTTAAGGTTCCACCAATCTCCGTTAAGGTTCCACAAAATCCAAAGACAAGACTTGGGGAAGGAATCCATGCAATGACTCACAATGCCATTCTAGAATACCTGGGATATGTTCTGAAGCTATCTTCTGAAGGTGAGGAGGGGTGGCGCTCAGCACCCCGATATGCACCTTTAGTGAGAACCCATTGGTCCATTTCCCTCTAGGAAAATCCCACCCCACTGTGTGCATCTTTTCAACATTATCTGGAGAACGGAAACTGAAGCTGGGCTCACTCCAATGGGGATTGGAGTGAGCCCAGCTTCAACTTGGCACTTCAGGGGAAGCCTCAGTCTTCCCAGCTGTTGGACCAAGGGATCTGAAGTCCCAAAGCTGGGTTCACTAGTTGGGAAGGCTGCCACGAGGACAAATAATTCAACGATGTTAGAGGGTAGAACGGCCTTCTCCTTGCATTAGTGAATTTTTAGGGTGGTTATTTATCCAACTTGCCAACTGCAGAGGGAGCTGATTGGAGGGGCAAAAGGATGGGCAAGCTTTCCTTCATTTTAGGTGTGTTGATGTTTCAATGCATGCATGCACAATATTGTTGACCCCCATTCTAAGCTCCTGTTACAGCACCTTTGGTGAAATCCTAATGATAAAAGTTGGTAGGTAATTTGATTTTGTTTGATAATGATTTCAATTGCGGTTCAGAGTGACTAGGACGTCTTTGCCGATATAATACGGACCAATTCTCTGTCCTAACTGTGACCCCAGGGATAGAACTTTGCTTTGCAGTGAACTCAGGAAACAAGCTAATTCATCTCCTTGATAGTTTAATCACATGTATTGATGTTTTATGAGGAAGATCCTTGATCCCTTCTGTCTGCATGTTTCTGTAACGAAGACCTGGCTGTTAAAAGTGTATCGTTTATTTTGAAATCTCCGCAAGACCACAGCTCTTTTCAGCTGAATAAAAATAGCAAAGAACGCATCATGTGAACTGGCTGGATTTTAATTCCTTCCTCAGATAGGTTTAAAAAAGTTAGGGGAGTATTATCTTCTCAACTTGCCTCGCCCTAAAATAAAATAACAGCCACACGGTGTAGTTAGTAGGATCCTTGTATCCATTTTGCAAATCTTCAGGGAAAAGTATGCTTAGTGATTCAATTAAGCAACCCTATGCCTAACTCCTCAGAGGTCTTTCAATCCAAGAGGGGTGTGATTTTTTTTTAAATGTTGGGTTTATGATGTGGTGTGAATTTAGGCACTGTGGTTTGTTCAGTAAACCAGAGTTTGCCAAATGGCAGCACAAATAAAAACAGATTCTTTGCGTCCTCCTTAAATGCCACTGAATTCGGTCTCTCTTCTCCAAAATAAGCTCTGTGATCTTTTGAGTATTTTATTCAGCAAAACTTTCAGCTCTACCGCTCTCCTCCTCTGGGTGAGTAAACCACCGACCAGAAGAAAAAGAGGGACAATTGACAGCTGTCCTTCGTCCGGCAAACCTGATAACCCTCATGGATGTGGTCAAGAGAACTCTGCAAAGGAATGGCAAGTGACATCCATATTTGTTGCATTCTTGTCTGGGGGTCTTGGGAACCGGGAGCTGATGACATTCCAAGGGAGATGGTGGACTTTTTGTGTTGGAATTTGGCAGGGATCACGGGATTTGTGGCTGTGTTGTTCCTTGATTTGGGGATCGTTCTTCCTTGCCCTCCCATTTGCCAGCTATGCTCCGTATCTACGGTTGAGTGCGAGGATGTCTCTTCAATCAGTGATGGTGAATATCTTCAGTGCTTCTAGTTCTTGCTTTCTCCTCCTGTTATTTCCACCAACAGATAAAATTTAGAATAGAATAGAACTGGAAGGAACCCTGGAGGTCTTCTAGTCCAGCCCCTCCCGCTTAAGCAGGAGAACCTATACCATCTCAGACAAGTGACTGTCTAGTCCAGGGGTCTTCAAACTTGGCCCTTTTATGACTTGTGGACTTCAACTCCCAGAATTCCTCAGCCAGGCACGCTGGCTGAGGAATTCTGGGAGTTGAAGTCCACAAGTCATACAAGGGCTAAGTTTGAAGACCCCTGGTTTAGTCTCTTCCTGAAAATCTCCAGTGATGGAGCACCCGTGAGAATAGAACAGAACAGAATAGAATAGAGCTGGAAGGGACCTTGAAGGTCTTCTAGTCCAGCCCCCTGCTCAAGCAGGAAACCCCATACCATTTCAGACAGATGGCTGTCCAACAAAAAAAGAAAAGTCCTGTTGCCATGACTTCCAGACCTCTCCCCAAATATTTTCAGAAATCAAAACATTGATAACCGACTTGTTATTTTCATTCTAAGCATTTCCTGTTTTCCCTCTTCATTCTTTCCAGTCTTAATCACTTTGCCAAGTTCCACCCAGCAGATCCTTCTACAGCAAGGAAACCTTAGCGAGATACCTCCTCTGTCCTTCAGTAATTTTACCAACCTTTATTTCTTGTCGATCACCGGATTCCTCATCTCCTCCTTGGCCGACTTCACTTTTTTCACACCTTACGTCAACCCCCTGAAGATCCTGGATCTCAGCCACAACCAGCTGCTGAGTTGTACAATTGAGCCCCTGGCTTTCTCGGGTCTTCTGTATCTTGAAGAGTTGATCCTAACCAACAACAGCTTGGACGTTTTGAGGGGGACGTGGTTCATGGAGATGCCGAATCTCAAGAAACTCTGCCTTGCCCTTAACAGAATCACGTACCTTCCCCCGAGGACCTTTGAGAACTTAAACACGCTGGATGAGCTGGTGGTCTCCTCCAATATGATCCAATATCTCCCCATGGATGCTTTTTTTGGCTTGGTTTCCTTGACCAAGCTGGACTTATCAATTAATAAAATCCTCTTTATCAACCAGGAAGCCTTTCAACCTTTGCAAGTGCTCCAGGATCTCCTGTTATTCCAGAACAGGCTGACCACCTTACCAACTTTCCCCGATTCCATCAACTTCCTGCTTCTTCATAAGAATCCATGGCTCTGCAACTGTCAGTTGATCCAGTCCATGCAAGTGGTGGAGGCTAAAATCCAGACACCTACTGGGGTCACTTGCAAAAGTCCCCCCTTTCTTTCAGGACACCAAGTGACCAGCAGCAAGATTCTGGGGTGTGCTCCATCACCTTCTAGCTCTTTGTCTTCCCCGCTGTTCTCAGCCATTGACTTTCCTCCCTCACGATCAGGAACCTTCAAGCTGATCTGTGGTCTGCTAGGTAAGGCATCATTTAAGCAGTCATAAATTTGAGTCACTTGGACGGATCGCGGTGTTTTCCATTGATTAATCCAGGCTGAGAATAGCCAATCTCTTGATGCTTTGAACTTTCCACCTCCACGACTCCATTATGGGATGCCACTTAATAGAATAACAGAGTTGGAAGGGACCTTGGAGGTCTTCTAGTCCAACCCCCTGCTCAGGCAGGAAACCCTATACTTTTTCAGTTACCTGGGAGAAATAATTCACAGCTAGTTCTGCTCCGAAGTTACTTTTTCACAGGGCCACTGGACTTTCTTGTTTTTCTTTGAAGATGTTTCGCTTCTCCTCCAAGAAGCTTCTTCAGCTCTGACTGGTTGGTGGAGGATGGAAGGATTTATACTCCTTGCAGAAAGCTGGTCGTTTGCCTTCTTTTAGAGAGTTGTTGAGGCCACTTAGAGGCTTCTCTGTGTCCTCAGGGTCACCTGAGTGGTGCAAATGGGGGTGGAGCCTTCTTGGCTGCAGGATGTTTTCTGCCCGGGGTCCCTTCCTTGTTGGAGACAGGTGCAGGCTGTTGGGGATGAGTCTGGGTTGTCTGCATCTCCAACTGAAGTGCAAATGGTTAGTCGTGCAGTCTAAATGGTCTCAACGACTCCCTAAAAGAAGGCAAATGACCAGGAGGATTATAAATCATTCTACTCTCCACCAATCCAGTCACAGCTGAAGAAACTTCTTGGATGAGAAGCGAAACCTCTTCAAAGAAAAACAAGAAAGTCCAGTTGCCTCTTGAAAAAGCATCTTTGGGACAGCCATGACCTGGATGACGGAGAAGCTCCATAGACATTTAGTTCTGCCCCAGATTTTTAGACAGAGAGGCAGTGTGACCTAATGGATAGAGTCGTTTCCCTACCTTGGCTTTTGCCAAAGGTTTTAACCCATCCCTGCCATTTTTTCTGATTATAAGTAATCCTTGTTTAGTGGCCAGCTCAATTAGTGACCATCTGCCATTGCAATGAAGATGAAAAAGGAACTTTGCAACTCGTCGTCGCAGTTGGGACCTTTGCAAAGCCTGAAAAGCCAAAGGAAAGCTTAAAGAAAGATTATAAAGGGATAGTTTTGGTTTTGTTTGTTCACTTAACAACCACGTTGCCAATCCCAATGATGGTTGCTAAATGAGGACTCCCTGGACTTGCTGAAGAGGGTGATAACCAGGTTCTCCATCCATAATATAGATATAAAAAGAGCACAATAATTAGCACCTAAGCTTTTGCCTTTTCCCCTTTTCATTTTGGAACATGCAGGTGGATTTTTCCTCGGTTTAACGGTAGGCCTGTTCTGCTGTTATTGCCTCCCCAAATGCTGCGGTGGCCGATCGCCTTTTGCAATCCACTCAAAGAATGAAAAGGCTCTCTCTAGCAGCTGGGTCAAACCTTCCACTCATCAAGAAGGGAAAACGTCCGACAGGGATCCCCAGATCCTTTCCGGTCTTCCGGCTGCAGAGAGCTCAGCCATGGCTTTGGAAGGAGGCCACTTTGCAAGGGGAACCTGCTGCGGGCCGCTGGTCTCTGCTTCTCAAATTCTCTACGGGGAGCAGCTGAGATTCCAGAGTCCGCTGGTTGCCTATTTATCCGTGGACCCGATGGGCCGAAGCATTGTGACCCTCCGTGAGAAAGGACACGAGACAAGATGTCCAGTCTTTGGCCAGCCCTGCTATCCAGTCCCCCAGGACGATACCCACAAAAGGACTGAAGTCTCCAGGGATGGTGGCACCCAAGAGCAGCACAGTGCCACATGTATGCACGGCTTAAGGGGTTCCTGTGTTCCACCTACTGCTAGGGATCAGATAGCCAGGAAGCAATCCGGTGAGTGAATCAAGCACTGCAAAACACACTCGTGCACACACTGCTGGCTATGCCTTTCCTGGAAGATTTTTTCCCCCCCTGAAAGGTATACAACCAGAACAGAACACGCTGGATTCCTAGAATCAGAGAATGGAAGAGTTGGAAGAATTTGCAAAGATTGTATCTGCCTAAATTCCTTGCATTTCCAAAACTCAGCCGTAAGTGGTAATCATTACAGAATTGCAGAATGACAGGGTTGGAAGAGACCACGGAGGCCTTCTCCCTCTGCTCAAGAAGGAGACCCTGTACCAGGACTCTCCAATCTTGGCAACTTTTAAGACTTATGGATGTCAACTCCCAGACATGATTGGGAGTTGACTGAGGGCTGAGGAATTCTAGGAGTTGAAGTCCACAGGTCTTAAACTCGCCAAGGTTGGAGACTCCTGCCCTGTATCATTCTGGACAAATGACTGCCCAATCTCTTCTTAAAAACTTCCAGTGTTGGAGCACCTACAACTTCTGGAGGCAAGTCGTTCCACTGGTTAATCGTTCTCACTGTCAGGAAGTTTCTCCTTAGTGCCAGGTTGCTTCTCTCCTTGATTAGTTTCCATCCATTGCTTCTTGTCCTGCCCTCAAGTGCTTTGGAGAATAGCTTGACCTGCCTCTTCTTTGGGGCAACCCCTCAGATATTGGAAGACTTGCTATCATGTCACCCCTGGTCCTTCTTTTCATTAAAAAAAAAGTCCCAATATGTACTTTAGAATGTCGTCTGGGGCAATATTAGAGGCTCTTCTTTCCCAATCACGTTATTATTTATTCCAGGCTTGGGAGAGCATGTAGACCACCTCATGAACGTCCAAATTTTACACCCAAAGATTCACGTTAGAGACACCCAGCCTTTGCCAGCTCTGGTCCATATAGATTTCCCCGACGGATGTGCCGTGAAGATCGAGCAAAACAGAACCGCTTCTCATACGTCTCCTTCCATGAGAAACGAATCTCATCAAGGCGGAAGTCCCACCCAGGCTTCTCCCGGTTGCTTGAAGAGAAAGAGGAACAATTGTGGACATCCCCGTCACCGATCCCAAGCTGGCTTCACGTCTCCTGAAAGTGAGCCACCTTCTGAGTTGAGACACTGGCAAGAAAGTTGGACGGGGAGGAAGGCTCCCAGGAGGTCCGACCTTCATCTGTCCTTTGCAAGCACACCCAATAAAAGGCAGACATGGAAACCTTGCCCTTCCCATCCAACCCATGAGGTGACCTCCACGCCTTCCCTTTCTAGTGTATCCAGCCAACCAGAAGCTTGCAGGTTCCACTATTGGAAGGAACCTTGTCCTGAGGGGGTTCCTCGTCATCCTGGGAAAAGAGCACGAGCATTTCAAGAGTTGGAGAAAGCTCAACAAGCTGGAGACACGATTCTCACCCATAGGAAGTCTAGGAGCAGGCAAGAAGACTCGAGATTCCTTACCAGGAAGGAATCCACCCTGAGCAGGATCTGGAAATGCCGAAACTGCGGTTGCGAAGGCTCTGCTCCTTGTCCTGTAAATCCAAGGAGATGTGCTCAGCCAGGCGCTGGATCCAGGAGGACCTTTATAGAGGCCAGTACTCAATGGTCCTCTACCGATGCAGTCCACCTTAAAGGTAACGCACCCACTGTGATCCAGCAACAGAAATAACCTACTCATCAGTTTAACCCATTTTTCTTAGGAAGGAAGGAAGGAAGGAAGGAAGGAAAGAGGGAGGGAGGGAAGGAAGGAAGGGAAGGAAGGAAGGAAGGAAGGAAGGAAGGAAGGAAGGAAGGAAGGAAGGAAGGAATGAAGGAAGGAAGGAAGGAAGGAAGGAGATCTTCATCCTCACATAGATCTCCACTTCTTGAACCACGGTGGGAGAAAAACAACCATCTTAACGGGCTTCCCCTCTCAATTTTTGCAGAAAATGAATTTGCCCTCACTTTTCTGGGTGTTCCACACAATGTCGCAAAAACCCGGTCAGAAGAACGCTGGTTAGCCGCTTGTTTCCCAGACTTCCAGCCCAGCTCCGTCCAAGCCATTCATCCAGGTGAAGTTGATTCCATCTACGAGTATCCTTCTCCGTTGGTGAGCACAACAGCCTTCGACACAGCCTCCGTGTTGGTTGAGGATACCGTAATGGTGCCAATATTGAAACACCAGGACCTCTCAACAGATTTCTTGAACATCCCCCAAACCAAACCTACGGCTGTCATGGATCCTTTGTTGGGCCAATTGCCTCCAGAGAAGATCGCCTTCAGAAGCTTGAGTGAAGCGCTCCAGCCTCCAGAAGAAATTCTGTTGGAGACTCTTGCTTTGGGCAGGGAGGAACTTTCAGAGGAAAGTCAAGAGGAACCCATGACTCCATCTCCCACTGTCAGTGCCTTCTCTTTCAGAACAGATACCAGTCCATCTTTGCAGGAGCTGCCGCTCTCCATCATGAGCTGTAGTCAAGTTACCTTCTCAGCCATCCCAGGAGATAGCCACCCAAAGACCCCGAGCGTCATGACCATCTGCCCGTTGGTTCAAAAGATGTTTCAGATTGACTTCCCCCTTCCAGCCGAGGAAGAGGAGGAGAAGGAGGAGGAGGCCAAACCATTTCAAGGTGGAGAATGGGATGGATAACTCAACCAAACAACGGAACAGGTCAGAAAGAGGCTGTTGATTCAGTCCCCCATCTGTTTTGTATTTCTGCTCGAATAAAGATTTGGTTGAAGATCAGAAAGTTGTCACTTCGTCTGTGATGGGATCAATTCAGAAGCAAGGTAAGGAAAACAGTGGGTTGTGAAGTAATCTGCCTTACAGGATTTAAGATGTTATTTTATACAAAGAGGGTGGGGGCCATGAAGTTGAATTTTGGGAGTCATATTGGTCCCAGAAAGAGAAGGACTGAGAAGAACAGATTCCACGCAGAACATGACATGTTGCGTTGACCCAACAGCCTTTGAAAGGAAGTTGCCACACAACAACACACCTGCCCAGCCTTCGGTTGAGAGAGAAATAATTTAGCAAGCCATGGCTGTGTTCCTACGACATCCTAACCCGGGTTAGTGAGCTAGTTCATTCAACTGAGGTTGCCTAAGAGTCAACTGCTCGATGCACACCTGGGGCTGTGTCACTGAAAAAGAAAATTGAACCAAGCTACGCCTACAAACCAAGCCAAATTTACTTAGTTTTGCTACAGTGTGAATGCAACCATTTAGTTTTGTCACTGACCTTGTGAACACAGGCTCTAAGTCTTGATGTCCTTCTGCATTGCTTGAGCTGGGTCTTCTTTCTGCTCCAGTTGGATGAGGCTTCTACTAGGGCGCACAGTCACCTGCGAGCCCCTGTAGGTTTATGCCAATGAGGACATTTTTCACGAGTTGTGGTATATTTTTAATTGTTGTTTTTTTCTTCTTCCCCCACCCCAACCATCCCTCGGAAACAATAGAAAAGTTTAAAACCAAGTGGCGTGTGGACGGTCCGTCTACAAGAAGAGCTACCTCTTGTTCTCCACTACTCCAGCCACCTGAAGTCCTTTGGGAGGAGAACCCAGAACCAGACCAGGAATGGGGGTGGGGGGGAGGGTGTCATTCATACCAGCTCTGCAGATCCTGAATCAGAAGTCCAGCTTGAACAAGTCTTCTTTTAAACCTGCTCAGTGCAAAAAACTCTTCTTCCCTTCCTAAGTTTATTGATGGTTTTGATGCAGTTCCATGCATGAACAAGGAGATGTATTCCGTGCGGGAAGAGGGAGGCTACTCAGAGCTGTGTTTCGTCTCGGGTTTCAGGATTTGCGTTCTTATGACTGCTGCTCTTTTGACTGTGACCTTCGTTTTCCACATGGGCTAGGGGGTCCGGTCGTATTAAATACCTGGGGAGAAAGGAAGAGGTTGTCTAGGGCAGTGTTTCTCAACCTTGAAGATGCGTGGATTTCAACTCCCAGAATTCCCCAGCCAGCCAGCCTCGCCGACTGACGAATTCTGGAAAGTTGGATTCTTCAAGTTGCCAAGATTGAGAAACTCTGGTCTAAGGTCAAACTTGCTCAGTTTATATCTTGAGGTGGATGGTAGCACCAAGGTTCTTCAGATGACCCATAGTTTCGTAGTTCGGGATCCATAGTTCAAGGTCCTCTCTCACCCCAGCCAGCCAAAATCTCTAGTCAGATTTCACGAGATTACAAAGCATCAAGAAAAGGGCTACAAGGTAATTTTGGCATCTCACCAAAAAGCATCTGGAAGGTGGTCAGGCACACCAAACTGCCTGTGGGTCCAAGACTACTGATTTACCCAGTAATTTTCTAAAGTTATTTATTTATTTGTAAAATGTATTGGCCACCCATCTGACTTTGATAGAGTAGCTCTATCAAGGGCTATCAAAAAGACATAAGTGGTCCGGCGTAAAATAAAAAGGAGAGGGAATTGCTTTGATGGAGAATTTTGAATTAAAATCACCAACTTCCTCCATTATATTAAGAAGCTTATTAACCTTGATGCTGCCCAGTCTTTGGCAAGTCAAACTAGAAGTGAAAGAGAGTTTGCGTAACAGTTATCATAGAAATATCTCACATTTTTGCTCAGTATATTCAGTATATTTCTTGGACTTTTCTAACACAATTACAATTTAAAAACTACACCACAGGAACATTGGATGCACTGGGGAAAAAACAGGGTACAAAAAGATAGATATCCTGGTATAAGGCTGGCAAAGAAAATATGAAGTGTAGGAACTAAAGCTTGGGAAAAGCACCTCACTTGTGCTCAGATAAACTTCTAAGCCAATTAAATCAACATGGAAATGGATTAAGTTTCGGTTTTAAAAATGTGAACATAATGGAAAAAATAATAGCCGTAATGGCACGGTGGTTAGAATATGCTATTACAGGCTGACTCTGCCCACTGCCAGCAGTTTGATCCTCACTGCCTCAAGGTTGACTCAGCCTTCCCTCCTTCTGAGGTGGGTAAAATGAGGACCCAGATTGCTGGGGGGCAATTTGCTGACTCTGTAAACCACTATAAAAGCGCTGTGAAGTGGTATATAAGTCCAAGTGCTATTGCTATTGCTATCCTTGATTAAAGAACGTGTCTCTTGGAAAAAGACACATTCTAAAGACTCCCGCTGGCCTGATACACCAATTTGGATGCAAATGACTCATCCTTTCTCTGTAATTCAAATGCAGAACTGAGTCACCCATTCTGCAGGCCACATTATTAGCCACAATATGCTGAATTAATTTCATACGTACACTATATCGTTGAGTTCCAGCCGTGTGTCTGGGGGAGGATTGATGAGAACGTAGGAGAGGGTGTTCTGGTGGTCGTTCATTTCATCTGGAAGAAAAAGAGTCGGTCAAGGGATCATCTGGTCAGGCAAAGCAAAAAGCTAACCAGCTGAAAAGTGGCAAACCTTTGGGGCTAGGGAACACTTTGAATGATCTCAATCATAAATAACTCCCAGGTCCTTCTATGCCTCTTTCCTGTCTATCATCAGAGGCTCTAGGCTTGAGGAAAACCCATGGACCTTACAGGCTTGTTTCTCGTTCTGGATAAAGATAATTTAGGGTGCACTCTCCTCTCCAAAGGGAAGTGATACGGTCAGCATTGCTGAATGAATCTGAGAAATGGGCACGCTGCCTGTGATAGGATGCTCCACATTGAAGCTGGGGACAAAAACAGGACAATGAGAGAATGAAGAAGGTGGTTAATGTATCAGAATGGCACAGTTGCTCAGACAAGGCAACAGGTATTTTTAAAAAAGCCTGCAGCTCACAGCTATTTAAGGACAGCCAACTTGGTTCTTACATCTTTCAAAGGAGATCTCTCTGTCTCTTATAGATCTGGGCAATTAAATTACAAATATTAGTAAGACATACTCATGCATATGGAACCTCTTGGTTCTCTCCAGAAATTCCTTGGGAAAGGCTATTGATAGAAAGCAAAAAAGGCTGCCCCAAAGAAGAGGGGGCAAACCTGTTCTCCAAAGCACCCGAAGGCAGGACAAGAAGCAATGGATGGAAACTGATCAAGGAGAGAAGCAACCTGGAACTAAGGAGAAATTGCCTGACAGTGAGAACAATTAATCAGTGGAGCAACTTGCCTTCAGAAGTTGTGGGTGCTCCATCACTGGAGGTTTTAAAGAAGAGATTGGACAACCATTTGTCTGAAATGGTATACAGTCTCTTGCTTGAGTTAGGGGTTGGACTAGAAGACCTTCAAGGTCCGTTCCAACTTTGTTATTCTGTTCCACTGAGCTATACTGTCAATTTAAAGATGGCTACATCAGGGAAGACAGGGGCCCTGGAAGATGCCGATCAAGTAATCATTGACTCGGTTTTAAGAGGGTTTGATTAATGGACTGTCAGCTGCACAGGCCATTGAGTTGGCTGGGTGCAACTTTACAACAAATGCTCTTTCCATTCATTGCTCCTTAATTGCGTCGAAAAATGTCTCTTCCATGGGGAGTCGTTAAAACGCTGCCTTGCATTCATTTCCACGGTGAAGTTAATGGCTAAACTGCAAAGCTGGTTTGGGACGAACGGAAGGATATTTTATTTCGTTTCAAAATCAGTCGTGAGGAACTGAAGAACTTTAGCCACGCTTACAGCTGTAAGAAGATTGCCTTCCCATGCAGACGGAAATCAAAATAAAAGCCATGGTTGGTTTGCTCAAATGGCTTGGATCCTGCATCAAACTAAGATGAAGCCCCGTGCCGTTGGAACCTGCCTTATGTTCACACAACACGTTCGGCCTGGCGACGAACGTCAACTCATTTCCCTGGTGTGCCCGAGATGCTGCATCACAGACTAACTAAGCAGGCTGAGTTAATCACAGTTAATGCTGGCATATTGGAAGAACGCAGCTCATCTATGAAACAAACCAAGTTGTGCTACCTATGGTGTCATGTCTATGGAGGATCTCAGTCATTCCAGGTCACGCTTATCCCAAAAGTGCTTTTTCAAAAGGCAACTGGACTTTGCTTTTTTTTCCTTGAAGATGTTTCACTACTCATCCAAGGAGCTTTTTCAGTTCTGACTGTGGTGTCATGTATCTTTAATGAGAATGTTCCTTGATTATCTATATTGGGGGGGGGTGAATGGAGTATTGTTTAATCATGTCTGCACTCAAGGAGACACCTCAAATATGGACACTGCCGTGTTTTAATCTTGCTAGCTCTTAAAATATCAACCCAGGGTGGCATCTTCTACAGAGGTGTTTTACTCCAAGAATTGAACGGGCGACATCTTTGTTACTTGACTACACCTTGAGTCAAGCTTGACTCAGAGAGGAAAAGAGATTTTTACCTTGCAAATATCCAAGGTTTACTCGATTCATCACATCACAGGCTGTTAAATTTGCTACATCCTCTACGGAGCACACAGAGGGAAAAAAGAAAGAAAGAAAGAAACAGAAATCAAAATAGAGGGAAGGGAAGGAAGAAAGGAGAAAAACAGAAGAGAACACAACACAGCACAGACATAAAAGGAGAGAAAGAGAAGAGAAAAAAATCAGCAAGCAGCGATTCAGAAAAGTATTCAGAAAACGAGATTCGGTGGTCACATGGGCCAAATCACATGTATGTACACATATGTTCAAAAAGATGAGCAGGCAAATTAAAAGGGATGCCGGGGGGGGTGTTAATGGTGTTTGCATGAACTAACAGGTGACATGTCATAAAAAAGGGTTTCAGACAATCTCATTTAAACAAGTGCTTATTCTATAGACTTTGTCCTCACAACAAGGAATCCAGGAGAGAAGCAACCTAGAACTAAGGAGAAATTTCCTGACAGCGAGAACAATAAACCAGTGGAACAGAAGTTGCCTCCAGAAATTGTGGGTGTTCCAACGCTGGAGGTTTTTAAGAGAGACTGGACATCCATTTGTCTGAGATGGCATAGGGTTTCCTGCCTGAGCAGGGGGTTGGACTAGAAGACCTCCAAGGTCCCTTCCAGCTCTCTTATTCTGTTCTTTTTCCAGTCCTTGCAAGTATTTGGCGATTCCATCCTGTCAATTTTCTGCTTTGCAGATGTTGTGGGTAAAGGGCCAGCTTTTTTAAAAATTAAAATTTCATCCATTTTCAGCTTTGTAGACTTCTCAGCTAAGGGGCCGGCTTCCCCTAAATTAAATTTTGGCCAATTTGCCTAAGCCCAGCCCCATCAAAGCTTGGATGGAGACCTGGATAAAGACCCCCCCTTGCTTCCTACTTGAGAAGGAATATTGAGGACATTTAAAAAGAGATTGCAAAGAGTCCTTAAGAGTCCTTTAACACCAGCAAACCATCCACCCCTACCTATTTCAGGCAAATGGGCAAGGACCCCCCCCAAAAGTGTTAATATCCCTAGGGACTTTAGTAAATGAGACTTTGTTATGCATGAACTCTGGAAAACGGTTATTTTGCTATGGAGCAAGCTAGTCCCAGAGCACTTGGCTTTTGCTCAAGGCAAGAATCCAAATGAGTGGCGCACGTGTCTTTCTTTTAGGGCACATCCAGAAAAATCACAAGAGGGCTGGCTATGGGGGGGGGGGGCATGAGCCAACGATTCAGGTTTTGCGTGGCTCAATTTGGAGCAAAGAAATTTTACAGACCAGGAAATTCAGGGCACCACAATCTTTGATAGCAGAAGTAGAAGCAGGTAACAAAGAAAAAAAATGGCTCAAAAGAATTCTGCAAAAGGAAAGGGGATTGGAATGAAAAGGTTTTCATCAGAATGAAAAAGAAAGAGAAACTTTTTTTCCCCTGAGGTCTCTAACTTAAGAGTTATTTCCCTATAGTGCTTATATTATAGCGGTGATGGGAAGATTCAATGGCTAAAATACAGAGACAGTAAAAGAGCGTTTAATTTTTCTGATCTCTCTCTCTCTCTCTCTCTCTCTCTCTCTCTCTCTCTCTCTCTCTCTCTCTCTCTCTCTCTCTTCCCCCTGGATCTTTTCACTTCTAGGTCCCATTGATCCTACAATTCCTTTTCAGATTGTTTTAGTGGATGTCAAGGAAAATCTTAAGGCTCGGCAAGGCTTCCCAAAGTCTCCACCTATGGAATGTGAACAATGAAATGAACAAGGAATGATGGGATCAGACTCGTCTTTCTTTCCCTCTTTCTCGTTCTCTCCCTCCCCCCCTTTTTTTTTCCATTTCAGTGGTAGAACTGCAAATATTTATCTGGATCAGCTCTTCCAGAAGCTGCTGCTACATCTTTCAGGCTGAAGAATGGGGCATAAATGTTTTGCGCCACGGTTTCTTAAACTTGACAATGTTAAGATGGTGGACACCAACTCCCAGAATTCCTCAGCCGACATGCTGGGGAAATGTAAACAATACTTAAACGAATACTAATAGAAATATTTTTAGTTCAGGGTTGAACAGAGGGGTCCTTGCTGCTCTCTGAGCTTAGCTGTTTCCTTGCAGACGTTTCATTCATAACTAGGAAACAGGAAGCAAGCCCCACTCCCTTCTGGTATTGATAATGTTACCTAGTTGGGTTATGAAACGTCTGCAAGAAAACCATCAAGCTCAGAGAGCATCAAGGACCCCACAGTCCTCCTCCTCCTCCTCCCTTCTGGCACTGATGATGTTACCTACTTGGGTTATGAAATGTCTGCAAGAAAGCCACCCAGCTCAGAGAGCACCAAGGATCAATATATTAGGAGCAGAAGGGAGCCCATGAAAAGGATCCCAGGGCGGAGGAAGTGAAAGTTCTCCTAAAAGCTAAGAGCCTTGGTTACAGGAGAACAAACTAAGAAGACAACTCATCATTGCAGAAGAATTCCAAGCTTCATGTTGGGGGGGGGAGGGAACCAAAGAAGGCCCTTTCCCTTGATGGCCCAAGCAGAGGGAACCACTTACCGTACCCTGTTGTAGGTAAGCCCAGATGTTTCATGCGGTTCTTCACAAGCTCCGACAGCTCCTGCCTTTCCGACCGGCGATAGAGGTTGAGTCTCTGCTGGTTGATCCACTCGGCTGTCTTGGAGGTCTGCTTGTTGGCTCCTTTCCTGCTCAGCCGCCGAGCCCACTGCATGCTTTTTCTCCGGAGAAGAGGGTGCTCCGTCTGGTCAGCAGGACACGAATTCCGGTGATGGTGGCGCGGTTTGGTGTGCCAAGTCTCCTTCCCTTCCTTGAGGTCTTCGCAGTCTTCCACATTGATCGAAATTGACTGGGAACACCGGAAGATCAGGAGAAGGAAGCCATCAACCGCTTGGGGATGAGGGTTTACGGCAACTCACCACAGCCAACTTGCCGTGGTCAACTTGTCATGGGACAACTCACCATGGCCAACTTGTCATGGGTCAATTCACCATGGCCAACTTGTCATGGGACAAGAGTTACACTAATATCAAAGAAATAGCGGAACAGAGTCATGAAAGGATGCCAAAAGAAGGACAAAATGAAACGAGTGACAAAAATCAAAACAATTTTTTTAACTGTTTTAAATAATTAAATTGAATTCTTGAATTCTCCCATGGCCAGTTTGGTCATGAAGAGTTGTCCCATTGCCCCAAGGATGATTCCCGGAAAAAGCCCCTCCAATTCCACGGAATTATAAAGGTCTATCAAAAGTACTAATCAGCCATAACAATAGGAAACTTTTCAAAAGAGATGATCGGTTGGCAATTAAAGCCATGGTTGACCAAAGGATTTAGGTGGAATTAGTTAGAATTCATCTGGATCGAACAACATGCTAGACTTGGCTAAAATGGCACCAGGCCGGTAGAGATTCAACGGGTTTTGGTGAGCCCTGCTCTTGTTTACTTATCTTGCCAAGACATAACAACTCTAGACCTAGCGTGAGAATCAAGGTTATTGTAACCAGAGCTGATAAGGAATTGGTGGGCTGGAGAACTGGAGAGGAGGCCCGGGCTTCAAACTAATTGGGGAATATGATTTATGACTGTTAATTGGAGGAGGGAATTGTGCTTTGATACTAGGTGCTCAGGGGAGGAGAATTCATTTTTTGTAGTGCCAATACTTTGTTTCTTGAATAAAAGATTCTTTAAGGTAAACAATGCCTCAAAGTTCTTTTGAAGAGTTTCATCTGTCAGAACCGTGACACACATGGTTTCCATGTTGGAGCACAGTGTGTTATCTGTACAAAGGTTAAGCATGTTGTGGGATCCTTTCCCTGAGTTCCCTCCATCTGGATTGGCTTTAGACTTGAAGAAGCCAACATTGAAAATAAATGCCTCATACTCACCTGTGTTCTGATATCATGAGGCTGGGGTTGGGGTTGGGATGGAGGGGGAGGGAACGACAGGACAGAGAAAAGAAAGAGAAAGAAAAAAAGAGGAAAAACTTGACACATGATCTTGAAAACAATACAGACCACCCATTCTCCCTTTTGCTGAAGGGCGGATGGGCGAAAACATTGGCTGGGATCCATAGCTCTTTTATTGCACTGTTTATAGCATCCTCTGAAATGTACATCAGCCTGAAAGTATAAATGGATCTCCTGCTGGGATCTGGCTTGAGGATCTCTAAGGCAGCTTCCAACCTTATGGAACACTATAGTTTGCCCCCCTCCCAGAAAGTATTATATAGTATACTATATACACTATATAGGATATAGTATAGTATATCTATTCTATAGATGCCTATTTTAATTTGGAGCAATCTTTAAATGTTGTCTTATTACTGTGCTAATGAATAGGCTGTTCTTTAATTTCTTAACATTTCTGAATCCTAAAAAGCCTAAATCAATCAACCATGTGATATGGCAACATATGTCTCAAGATGCTTGTAATTCTTTAAAGAATTGTTGCTGGAATTGGGTATGTCCAGTTTAATGAAAAGGACTAAGAGTGACATGATAGCAGTGTTCCAATATTTGAGGGGCTGCTACAAAGAAGGGGGGGGGGGGTGCCAAGCTATTCTCCAAAGCACTAGAAGGCAGGACAAGAAGCAACAGATGGAAACTAATCAAGGAGAGAAGCAACCTGGAATTAAGGAGAAACTTTCTAAGGGTGAGGACAATTAATCAGTGGAAGGGCTTCCCTCCAGAAGTTGTGGGTGCTCCATTACTGGACATTTTTAAGAAGAGACTGGACGTCCATTTGTCTGCAATGGTAAAGGTTCTCTTGCTTGAGCAGGGGGCTGGATTAGAAGACCTCCAAGGTCCCTTCCAGCTCTGTTATTCTGTTCTGTTAAGCGATTCTACCATCGGATGACAAGCCCTGCCTGCTTGCTGAGGATCCTCTTAGGATGCAGAGATCCTGTAAAAAAAAGAGAGTTGCACTTTGTTGGTTTCTTACATCTGTGGTGGAGAACATGTGCGATTCAGTCCTGTAGATGCCAATGGGGATCTCCGCGCTGGAAGAGCACAACTTTTGAAAGAGACGTCCGTAGGATCGGATCCAGAGTTCATCTTCCGTTATTTTCATCTGTCAGATAAAGCCACAAAAGAACGCGAAGAAGCAAAGGAGAGAAAAGAAAAAAGAAGGCATGATTGATAGTAGATTACGGATTAAATTACGCTACTCTCCCTACTGAAGATAGATTTAAGGGAGGTATTCTAGGAATCTTCTCCCTCACGATGCCCCCAATGAGTAGATCCAAGGTAGGGCAAACCTATGACCTAAGCCCATTTTAGAGATATTTGGAGAGAAAACTAACTCTCCCTTGAAGCAGCCGAGGGAAAAGTCAAATCACCAAACAGCAGGAAAACACACTTACTGCACAGAGGTAACCAGACCCAGGCGTTGTATCCAGGCCGAGTAATAATCTCGTGATGGTGATCATATAATCTTTCACGAAGGACTGAAAAGAAGAAAGGCATCCATCAGTCTTTTTGGTGGGAACGGAAGCTAGAGCTATAATGAGGGGTCCTGGCGCTCTCTGAGCTTGCTTGTTCTTCTTGCAGACATTTCATGACCCAAACTAGGTAACATCATTATTGCTACGCTGATAATGTTATCTAGTTAGGGTCATGAAACATCTGCAAGGAAACCACCAAGCTCAGAGAGCACCAAGGACCCCTCATTTCAACCCAGAGCTACAAAGATTCTCCTTCAACAGTATTATAATGTTGACAAGTTAGACTCAAGTCAGCGTCTGAAATGATTCATTGATGATGATTTAAAAAAAAACCAAACTTCTGTTTCCGCCCACAAGCCAAGAAACCCATCTTTTCTAATCTGGAGCTAGAACTAAAGACAAACATGATTTTATTTTGGTCCCAGGTCAAAGTCTTCTTCAGAATCACTTCCTTTTGAGGTCTTCCTGTCTCAGTACCTTCATCCTCCATCACCATGATTCAGCATGGAACTGCTTGCAAAGTGGAACAGAAGGCCTGCCTATGAAGGATCTGAGTAGTTGGCTTTGGAAAGAAGGGTGTTTTTTAAAAAAAAACAAATAAATAAATATCCAACTTGTTCCTTTTTCTGACCTGGTAAAGGAGCGTATCTAACATGCTGATGCTGAAAACACGGCCAGCAGCAAACGGGAGGCGGAACATAAAAGCCAAGTTGGAGCCGTTTTCTCGTTCTTTCTGTGCAGGAGACAAGATTACAGAACAGGATAAAAATAGCTGGGTTTTTTTTTCAGAGCGGGCCAGTATTCCTGTCTCCAATGAGAATTTGATCAATAAATCTAGGAAGCTCATAAGAAGACCTTTACACTATTATCCATGTATAGGAGAACAGCAGGTTAAGCTGGAAGGCGGAGTTAAGCATGTCATCAATTTGGAATCATTGTGTCGCCACAAGAGACCACTGTCCAATTTTTCAGGATGTGTGAAGCTCAGAATCCAGGAATATGTTCACAAATTCTAGCTTCTTTGAAGGGCGATAGGAGACCAGAACAACAGCAACAACAAATCAGCCTACTGGACAACCTCAAAGCCAAAAGCTTGGTGTGCTTTTATTGCACACCTGGAGTTATGCATTTGTATTGTTTAATTACCTTCTCCAGCTTGGAAAGGGCCAACGAGTAGCTGTCCTTTGCCCGGAATTGCATAAACCTCATGTTGGATGGATGGGTCAATTCAGTAATGATACTCAGACTTGGAAAAAGTCTGGAAAGGGGGGGAAAAAGTGATAATCTTTTGTAAAGATCTGAAAAACATATTTAATCAAACCAAGGGTCTTCTTTAGTCTTTAGTCATTCATCCTCAGAAGAAACTAACCAGGTGTTTTAGGGAGAGGTATGTAAAATGGTGAAAAACCACTTTCATGTACTGATTAAGGGTTCAGGCTAAAAAGCAGGAGATTGTGAGTTCTAGTCTTGCCTTAGGCACAAATCCAACTGGGTGTCTTATGGCCAATCACCAGGAGAGGGTGAGTTCTAGTCCCATCTTAGGCGTGAAAGCCAGTTGGCTGACTTATGGCCAATCACCAGGAGATGGTGAGTTCTAGTCCCATCTTAGGCATGAAAGCCAGCTGGCTGACTTTGGGTCAATCCCCAGGAGACGGTGAGTTCTAGTCCTGCTCTTAGGCATGAAAGCCAGCTGGCTGACTTTGGGCCAATCACCAGGAGACGGTGAGTTCTAGTCCTGCCTTAGGCACAATCACCCAATTGGCTGACTTTGGGCCAATCACACTAGGAAAGAGGCAATGGCAAACCACTTCTGAAAAAAAAATGTGCCAAGAAAACTTCAAGGACTTGTCCAGGCAGTGTCTGAAAATTGGACAGGACGAGGAAGCCTGTAACTCGATTCCCAGTCATTCTGAGCTGCTTCTGAACACAGAAGATCAGTGGATCTATTTTGTTACACAAGGGAACCAGGTCTGCATGCTGGAAGCTCTCGCTGCCTCACCTGAACATGGTCTGGACATTGACAATAGTCTTGGCATCGGCCATGTAATCTTCCTCTGCGCTCATGGTGCTTTCTTTGTCCACCACCACCAAATTGTCCGCGTAAATAATGCCACATTGCAGCAAACTATCAAGGCTGTAAGAGATGTTTTCCCCCCCCCAAAGAAAGAGGAAACCATTAAGATCAAGTTCTTCCACGCATCTAAGCTGAACTGAAAAGAATATTCCTAGAAATAAAGCCCCGGTTCATTTTTTGGATCATTTTCTATTCCTCAAGTCACGCAATTTCAGATGCAAAATGTTTCTATCTATTGATTTGCTCTTTTTGGCAATTCCATATAAAATCATGAACATGATTCTTGGCCTTCTGTTTTTTGTTGTTGTTGTTTTCCTCAAATCATACTTTGGGTTTAGCTAAACTGGGACTAATTGCTTCCCACTAATAAAACTTCATTTGGGCTCAACAGAGAAAGTCCATTTCTCTTAGAGAGTTTTAGACATTGACCCAGGACAGAACTGTAGTTATTGACCCATGGACAATAACTGCATTTAATTATTTGCAATCTGGTTTTTATATATATATATATATATTATCCTTCTGGGAATTTGTTAGGCAGCTTATTGCCAAGAGGGGCATACAGGTTTAAGGTATAAAGGAAAGCATATAAAGAAGAAAGAAATGGGAAGAAGAGAAAGAAGGAAACAAACAATACACAGAATATCAGCGCTAAGAAAAACAACCCACAACTCCTAAATCCTTATCCTTCTGTAGGAGATGATCAGGCTGGGCCTGAGGTTGGACAGATTAATGTCAAACTCCAGGGAAATGAGGTTCAGGCAGTACAAATGAATATAAAAATTTATTGCAAGCTTAAGCTCTCTACAAGGACCTGGTCAACTAACGGTTAAGGGAAATGAGCGGGAGATAAGAGAGGCATTCAAGGTGGAGTGGACTTAGATCTCTTGCAGGCACGCAGGGACTCATGACTGATGATACGTTTGACTCTTCCCTCCAGCTCAGCCTGGTCGTCTCCTACACCTTCCAGCATAAGGCAGATGGATTTTAACATTATGGGACACAGAAGAAGACACTTACTTATCAATTGTACCTTCCATGTAATAAACCATTGGAAAACAACAGATGGCTTCCAAGAAGTGATGGTCAGGTCTAAAAAACAACAACGGAGACCGAAAAAGAAAAAATCAGGTTCAATTCCATTAACATTCTTATTCCTTTCTAAATGTGCTCTTTCTAATTCTTAAGCTCTTGAAGCAGAGATGTATCTTGTCTGGTTTTGGAAAATCCATTCCTAATCCCCTAAACAAATGTGTTTATACATCACTGCATTATTCCTCAAAGGTGAACCTCAAGAATTAATTTATGGACTAGGTCTGGAAGGGACCTTGCAGGTCCTCTAGCCCAAAGCTGGAGTACCAGCTGGGATAAGTGGTTGTCAATCTTTTCTTGAACACATCCAGTGATGGAGCCTCCATAACTCCAGAAAGTATTCATTGTATTTAATGTGGTACAATACACTCAGCTGACAGAGGGCCCCCCTCCCCAATGAAGACCTATCATGGATAACTTGATCATCATTCAGATCCCACAAGTAGCCGAGTTTTCCTACGGGCAGTAAACTGAGCAGAACAGCTTCCATTCGTGCCCTCAATTACTGAGCACAAAGATAGGGTAATATGGAGAAATCTGGAGCTGAATTAAGAGTTTAGCCTGGCAAGATTCCTGTCTATAGGTAAGCAACAATAAACATACCACTCTGATCAGTTCATGGGGTCCTTTCTGGTTTCTTAATCTCGCCAGACTAAAGCGCACACTGCATAACTACTTGTAGGAGAAGGAATGGCAGAAGCTGGGGTCGGAGTTAAAAGAGGGATCAGCCTAGAATCCCTACTTAGCCACAAAGGAATTAAATCCATTCTCCCTTGAATTCCCTGGAGCCTTATCTAACTCCAAGCAGCTACTAACTGTTAGCTGAGAAGATTCCTAGGACCTATAAATCAATTTAATTTGACCCTCGGCCAGACTACTAGATAAATACTGCCAAATTTTAAGGAGGATCTGCTTTCCTCTCCACTAGTGACTCCAGTTTCACTCCTAAACTCAGGGACGGATGGAAACCAAATTCCACCAGAGGGAGGGAAAGAAGAAATTGGAGAGACCCATTTCCCCCCCCCACACACACACACAATTTATTTGATGCAACTTCAGCCTCGTCACAGCATTGTTTGAGTTCCCTACGCTTTTTAAGGATGACTCAGTTCAGTTGCAGATTCCTTCTTGCTGGCATTCTGATTCTCTACTATAAATGTTGTGCCTGTGTTTATACATGGAACAGTGACACAGCATGCTGTGTGTTCAAGAGAAATCATCTGGAGAAAAAAAGAAAAGAAAAGAAAACAAGGCACTTGCTTGTTGTCCAGCAGCAGCACGATCGGATTCAACTCCTTCCGTGAACGATAATACGCTCGAAGAGGGACAATAAAATTATACAGGCCGTTGCCCGCCGTCTCCGCCGACACAATGATCAACTTGTTCTTAAAGCCGTAGGCCTTTGCGTCTTCGTAACTGTTGTGCTTGCAGCCCTGGAAACACAGCACCACAAATGTCCTTCGTTGTGAGGAAGTTGAGAATAGGCTAGGGTTCAGGGTCAGTCTTTGACTCCAAAGTTGAGGCATATTAATTGAGCACAAAGATACCGTTCCAATTTGGAACCTTCAGAAGTGGCCTTTTACCTTGTCCAGACGTAAGCAACAGAACGGTGCCTTGACAGGTAAAAGATGGCAGAGGGTGGGAGAACTTCCAATGTAAGGTGAGTTGGGAGGGTACCCTTTCACATACCTTTTAAAAAAAAAAGAGAGAGAGAGAGAGAGATGAAGATTTGAGCCATCTTTTTCGTCTGGAGCATAGTACGTAAACTCTAAGGCAGGGGTCTTCCAACTTGGTCCTTTTATAACTTGTGGACTTCAACAGAGAATCTCTCCAGGCATCCCTTTTACAGTTTCCTCCATGGTTTAAACCAGGGGTCTTCAAACTCAGTCCCTTTTATGACTCGTGGACTTCAACTCCCAGAATTCCTCAGCCAGGCATGCTGGCTGAGGAACTTTGGGAGTTGAAGTCCACAAATCATAAAAAGGCCGAGTTTGAAGACCCCTGCTCTAAGGGCTGGAATGGACCTCAGAGATCTTCTAGTCCAACCTCCAGGAGAGCTTATACCATTCCAGTCAAAAGATTGTCCAGTCTATTTTTGAAAACTTCCACCGACGGAGCACTCACAACTCCAAGAGACAAGCTCTTCCATTAGTTAATTGTTCTCACTGTCGGGAAATTCCTCCTTACTTCTAGGTTATCTCCTTAACAAGCATCTTGCCTTGTCCTCTGGTGCTTTGGAGGAGAAGTCAATCCCCTCTGCTCTATGACAGTCCCTCAAGAACTGTAAGATACTTATCAAGTTTCCCCACCACCACCACCACCAATTGATTAGATAGTGGATCAGACAGGTTAGCTCCCTCATAAGATTTAGCCTCCATAGCCTTTATGACTTTTGTTGGGTTTCTTGCAAAGGTTTCTACTGATGTTCAGTAGAACTTGGGAAATGTAGAAGGACATCTTGCTCAACTGGACTTCACAAGTTCCCCCACACCTTTTAATAGAACTCCACACAGACCAAAACTGAACAATTTGGAGAGGAATGGGCTGCCTTTCAGCTGAGCCCGAGCTTCATTTTCAAGGATGTGGAAGGAGAGCATCAAAACAGTTCCACTTCATCCCACCAGATGGAGCCGCTGTTCCACCTTAGTCAAATAAACTCTGGATTGCCTCCCGATATTTTTTTTTGACAGCTCATCTGGTGGGAGCTAAGAAAACGGAGCTGAAATAAACCATTAAGCGGAGGTTAATGTATGCAAATAGGCTCCTACTGGGAAGTAAATAATAGAAAATTTGCATGGCGGCACTTACAGGAAATCTGAATGCCGAAATCACACTGAGTCTCTTTTAATGCTCTGAACACAACCTTGGCAGAGACTGCATGCGCCATTGCTTCTCAAAACACTTTTTTTTAAAATGGTTTCAAAGAGAATCAAAGTATTAATGGACAGATTAAAAGAATTTGGTACATTTGCAGGTTTTAAGAGGAATAAAACACCAGACGAAGACGTTTAACAACGAACGCGAACGTGGAAAATCTAAGAGAATCGGTGAATAAAACGAGTTTTAAGATTGAGAGGAAGGTAAGATTATCACGACGGCAGATAGGAGTGCTAAGTTATTTTCAAAATAATTATGGGAAGACATGGAGCAAAGTTCCAAAAGAGTTTGGACCAGGCAGGCATGGTTTCCCTGATGGGCTAGGTTTCAGGGGTGTGTGTTTGTGTGGGTGTTTGCATGGCTGTGTGTGTTTAGGCTCCTTCTGGGGAGGATCCAAAGCACTCACTCTATGATGGTCAGGCCGTCGTCATCGGACTGAGTCACCTCATCCTCGGATTGGTCACTGAGCATGTCGCAGGGGAGAAGAGAAGAGGCATCTGCCAGCTCCAGAACCGGGGCGATGCTGGGCCTCCTTTTTCCTGATCCGTTCTCGGCTGGCAACGTTAACTTGGAGCTGTGATTGGGATGGCATTCTGTGTTCTGCAGGTCCATGGCCACCGTGCCTGGACAGAAGGAGAGGAGACATCAGTTGCTGGTCTGAAGCAGGAGCTATTATGTCTCTGGAGAATCTCAGTCATCCAGGTCATGGTTGGCCCAAAGGTGTTTTTTTTTTCAGGAGGCAACTGGACTTCTTGTTTTTCTCTGAAGATGTTTCACTTCTCCTCCAAGAAGCTTCTCCAGCTCCCCACCATCCAGTCAGAGCCTGAAAAAGCTTCTTGGATGAGAAGCAAAACATCTTCAAAGCAAAAGAAGGAAGTCCAGTTGCCTCCTGAAGAAGCACCTTTGGGTTAAGCAGGAGCTTTGTTGTTTGTTACAAGAATCTCTCCAGACTTGACTGCAAAGGCTCCATGAATTCTGTGCCACTTTCAGCCACGCAAGGATTCTGAGCTCAGTCCCCTCTTAACGCCTCCCTCCAGTCTGGCTGGAGATTCCACCAGGGCAGACCGAGAGAAAGTAGAACAGCTCACCCATGCTAGCGATGATGCTATGGACCGGCAGTCTCGACGGCCCGTCATAGATTCCTTTGCCCATAAACAGCTTCTGTTTCTGCTTCTCTTCCTGCTTAAAGATGAAGGCCGAGTTCTCCTCTTTGGTGATGTTGATGTAGAAGCAGGTATCAGATGCAGTCATGATGTGCCGTGGTCCCGGGTTGAGAAGGATGCTCTTATTCTCCTTCTTCACGCCCATCAAGCAGACCCCGTACCTGACCGGAGGATAAAGGCTCCTTTCGGATCTACTTCTCGACAAATCCTCCCGAGATTGAGTAAGAAATCCAGCTTTTCTGCTTACTTTTTGTGAGCGTGGAAGGACGCGTAGGTGAAGCTCTTCCCTTCGTACTCCATGAAAAACTTGCTGTCGCCCATGCGGATGTGGTAGACCTCATTGCCCGAGCAGCGCCCGTACATTCTTTGCCACTGCTCTGGAGATTCCTGGCCTTCCCTGGAAGTAACAGAAGAGCAGAGTTGGAAGGGAGCCTGGAGGTCATCTAGTCCAACCCCCTGCTCAAGGAGGAAACCCTTTACCAGTGATGGCGAACCTTTGAGAGACCGAGTGCCCAAACTGCAACCCAAACCTCACTTATTTATCGCAAAGTGCCAGACGGCAATTTAATCTGTGGTTCAGACTCTTGCAGAGAGCTTCAGCTTGCAATAAATCTTTATACTAATTTGAACTGTCTGAATTTTCTGATTTCTCAGGCTTGACCTTCAACTTCTTTTAAGTTGGGTCACACATTTGCCTGAGTGAGAAACTGACCGGTACGTCAACAGTTTTTTTTTTAACTACTTACTGCCCTCTGGAGGTATGGACAAGAAGGGTAATAAGAGTAGAGGTAGCTGGGCAGACACAATTGAGGGCCAGCATGGCGTATTTGCATTCCTCTTCACAGACCACATGATCTGAAATCAAAAACAGGCCCTTTCATATTCCGAAGCATCATTTTAAATTTCCAGCATAATCCCTTTGGTAAGTTGTTTAAAAAATGTCTTTGCTGCTTCAAAGTGTGACACTTTCAAGGATTTGCATTTTGCGATTTTGACTTGTTTTGTCTTTGCAAACCACCCTAGAATAAAAAAAAAAATGCTGTTTCTATAGTAAATGGTGGTGGATAAATTTAAAAAGTGCCTTTTGCTACCGCTGTAAGAACAGCTGAAAAATGTGAAGTCGTTGCTTTCCTTTTTTTTTTTTTTTCCTGGCGAGAACCTACGCCTTCATTTAATTTTTCCCCAAGTGTATACAGTCACAACTTGCCATACAAGACCCCTTCCCAGTGTTATGTCCCCTCCATCACCCAAAACCGTCAATTTGTCACTTCACACAGTCTATCGAAGAGTCTGGCATGTTTTTAATAGATCAGTCGCTCTTCTGGATTTTCAAAGAGCTAAACTATAAAGTCTGATTTTTTTTTCTTCACTTTATCTTAATTAAGTTGAAGGATACCCTAACCAAAAGCCCTGCGGGGACATTTTCCCTGCTTCTGAGAGCTGAAAAGAGATCTATTGCAAATTAAAAGTTTTAGATAACTTTTAAAAAATAGGGTAGAGAAGAGCGAGAGTCACAGACACTGAACAGAAAAATAAAGCCCCTGAGCTTGTGACCAGTGTGGTATGTGCAAATGGAACTGTCTAACCCCCTCCCAAATGTTCCAGATAAATTAACTAGTTGTGTCTGAGACAATAAACTCTGTTTTATATGTTTGCAGATGCCAAATCATTAGGTTTTCTTTTTATAGCCCAGTTGCTCATTTGCTGGCTGGAAAAGGACTGAAAACACATTGTATACCATCCAGCCTTTCCCATACAGAGAAATGTTTTTTTTTTCTTCCTGTTTTGAGTTGGATTAACGAGCATCGGACAGATGGGCAGAAAAGTCCTACCTGCAAACTTGACATGGAATTTATTCTCCGGCTTCAAAATCTGAACGTAGAGGGGACAGTTAGGAGCAAAGTCTTTCACTGCCCAAGCTCTTAGAATGGTTTGATGATCCTACAGAAAAATGAGCACAAAAGTCCTATGTCAACTCTGCTAACATCGGATGTTTTTGCATTGACAACAGATGGAAATGTAGCCATCTTTTTTTTCCTTTCGCTTTTAGAGTTAGATGATGCTGAGAGGGAGGGAGGGAGGGATGTGAATGAGAGTCCAGCTAGACATAACAACACTAAACCTAGCGTGAGAATCAAGGTTATTGTAACCAGAGCTGATAAGGAATTGGTGGGCTGGAGAACTGGAGAGGAAGCCTGTGCTTCAAGCTAATTGGGGAATGTGATTTATGACTGTTAATTGGAGGAGGGGAATTCAGTTTTGGCCTTCGATTATGCAGTGCCGATATTATGCTACTCGAATAAAAGATTCTTTAAGGTAAGCAATGACTCAAAGTTCTTTTGAAGAGTTTCATCTGTTGGAACCAGGACATCCTACTTAGAAATGGTCCCTGGTAGTTTTGCATTCTCTGCAGCAGCGTTGGCCTGGGAAGAAGTTTTAGGAAGGTCCAAATTATTAGAATTATTAGCATTTCCAAGAGGATGTATAAGCAATCCTTGGCAAAGCCCCTTTCTCCCTTCCTGGGCTTAATCACGTTGTCGTTCTGTTCTGTGACTTACGGCAGCTGTGCGGTCCACTTCATTTCGACTGCTCAGAATGAAGCAAGCTTCGCCGTTGTCCATCCTGCAAATATAAAGGGTTCTTTTAATCCAATTCTGCTGGGAAGTTAAACTGGAAATACACCTGGAAAGGGGAAACCATATTTAATAGATTAATAAAATTCAAGTCATGTTTTTTTCCCCCTTCAAACCCATTTCTCCCCAAATCCGTATTTCCCAAAAAAATCCATTTAATCTTCTTTCTGGTAATGATGGCGATAGTCCCCCAATCCTTAGCAAATTTCTGCTGCTCAGTGAGACGTTGGTGAAGTGAGTTTCGCCCCATTTTACAACTTTCCTTGCCACTGTTGTTAACCAAATCGCTGCAGTTGTTAAATTAGTGAGACGGGTTGTTACGTGAATCTGGCCTTCCCCATCAGCTTTGCTTGTCCAGAAGGTCACAAGGGGGAGAATCACATCACCCTGGAACATGGCAACCTTCATAAATACGAGTCTGTTGCCCAGCAAATTTTGATCAGGTGGCCCACGGGGATGCTGTAAAAATCGTAACTGTGACCTTTTTTCAGTGCTGTTATGGATGCTAAATGAACTGTTGTAAGGACTTGCCTGTGTTGTTAGTGGACTGTTTCTGTTTGACCTCTCCCCCCAAAAACATGTCCAGTGAAAGGAGACAACTTGTTGGAACTAAAATCTGCTTTCCACTTTCCAACTCACTTTGCTCGCATGAGATCCTGATCCTTCAGGGCAGATCCCTGGAGATAGATCACCCGCTGGGACCACAAGGGAATCTGAAGCACCCGGCGCACCTGGATGTCCATTTCTGTAGGGCAAAGGATGACCACGTAGTAGTCCTGAAAGGTATAGAAATGAAAACTCAACCCTCCAGCTGAAAGTATCTAAAGAAGGTGAGATCATGGACCAACCAGATGAAAGTTTATTAAACTGAGATGACTGAGGATCTCCATAAACGTTTAGCCCTGCGCTTTGGCATGAATCCCCTTTGAAGGGAGCGAGAGTGTGAACGGATTTCCAGAAAACATTGCAGACTGCAGGAACCATTGAGCTTCAGTCTGAGATGCGCACAACCCAGACTCATCCCCAACAGCCCATGTCTGTCTCCAACAGAGAAAGAACCCAAGACAGAAGACAAGAAGGCTTCATACCCCTTTGCACTACTCAGGTGACCCTGAGGATGCAGGTAAACCTCCAAGTGGCCTCAATGACTCTCTAAAAGGATGCAAACAACCAGCTGTCTGCAAGGAGTATAAATCCTTCCTTTCCCCACCACTCAGTTGGAGCCGAAGAAGCTCCTTGGATGAGAAGCAAAACATAGGTAAACCTCCAAGTGGCCTCAACCACTCTCTAAAAGAAGGCAAATGACCAGCTGTCTGCAAGGAGTATAAATCCTTCCATCCTCCACCAATAACAACCATGACCTGGATGATGGAGAATCTCCACAGACATTAACCTGAGATGTTTTGCTACTCATCCAAGTTACTTCTTCAGTCCAAATGAAAACTTTCGGTTAGGCACAGTGTTTTCATTTGGACGGAAGAAGCTACTTGGATGTGTAACAAAACGTCTCAATTTAATAAACTTTGGTCCAGTTCCCATGATGTAACCTTTTTTTAGATAATCCTGAAAAGGACAAGCAGAATTTCTGAACCCAGCTTAGCTTCCCACCCATGAAGAAACTCAAATTTTCTAAGCCTGCCTCCCAGCCAACCAAACATTCACCTGCAGCCTGGGATGAGCGTAGAACTCGTTCAGGAAGTCCATAAGCAGATCTATCTTGAGAGAGCTGACACAAAGAACAACATGCTTTTCCGTCTGGGCCCGATGGCGGCTGTAATTTCCTCCTGACTTCTGCCGTTCCATCCACAGGTACACCAGCTCTTCAAACTGTAAGCAAAACAACAACAACAACAACAACAACCCAAGCAGGCGGTTTCAAAAGCAGATCTTCTGCAAGGATCTGGGCAGAGTGCCCTGTTGGTTAAGGTTCTCCTTGATGGAGAAAGATCAGGGGTCTGGGAGCAGTGCTCTGGTGGTTAGAGGTTCTCCTTGAACATCTCTGCTGCCTCACTCCAAAGCCCCTCTTACTTAGGGCTCAACCCATTATGTCGTAAACCCCAGTGAGTCATATATTACCTGCAGAGGCAAGACCACAAGGGCCACACATATCATGATCACCACCAGCAGCTGAGAAGGCCAGATCTTGGGGGTCACATCCCCGTAGCCGACGGTGGAGAAGGTGACGATGCAAAAATAAAAGGACTTGAAAAGCGAGAGGTTTTCGCCAGCTCTTTCTAAATGCTGGATGCCACAGGTTCTAGATCAGAGGGAGAGGAAAGACAAGATTCCAAGAGTAAAACCAGGGTTTTGTTGTTAAAACTCAGTTAGGTTTCATTCATCTTGCTTTTACAGCATGGAATGTTGACACCTTCTATGGCAGGGGTCTTCAAACATGGCCCTTTGATGACTCGTGGATTTCAACTCCCAGAATTCCTCAGCCAGGCACACCTGGCTGAGGAATTCTGGGAGTTGAAGTCCACAAGTCATCAAAGGGCCAAGTTTGAAGACCCCTGTTCTATTGGGCTGGATGGCCATTGTCCGAGGTTCTTGAGTCATTTTTGAAACGGGGGAAAAAAGAGCTCATGAATTTTGCTTCAGTTCGGATGTGGCCAATGAACTAATATTTTAATAACTTTCTATTCCTTTGCCAACAGACGAGAGGGCTGAACTGTGGGGTCCTTGGTGATCTCTGAGCTTGGTGGTTTTGTGAAGACGTTTCACGACCCAACTAGGGAACATCTAGTCAACAGTCCGCATGAAGGCCATTGACGTTTGTTTCAAATCATTGGCTTGATCTGGTTCATTCTGATTGAGAAGATCCAAACTGTGTGATAAATTGGCTCAGTCTGATTTCCCTAATCGAGTGAGATGGTCATTCGATCAGGTCAATTGGGTTTTCCGAAAACCAAAACCCACAGATTGCACTGCATCTCCTTCAAGTCAAATCTGCTGTAGTGCGAGGCATGAAGGGGACAGTCAAAGGACTTACCCAGTGAAAACAAGACAAAGCAGGGTGCAAATTAAAATGAGCACTTGGTTAAACATGGCAGACTGAGTCCGTTGTATTGCTCGATGCAGGTCATTCTGGAAGGAAGGAAGGAAGGAAGGAAGGAAGGAAGGAAGGAAGGAAGGAAGGAAGGAAGGAAGGAAGGGGGAAGGGGAGGAGAGGAGAGGAGAGAAGAGAAAAGAAAGGAAAGGAAAGGAAAGGAAAGGAAAGGAAGGGCAAGGAAAGAAAGAAAGAAGGGAGGGAGGGAGGGAGGAAGGAAGGGGGAAGGGGAGGAGAGGAGGGAAAGGAAAGGAAAGGAAAGGAAGGTTAGGGAAGGGAAGAGTAAAGAAGGGAAGGGAAGGAAGGATGAAGAAGGAAAGGAAAGGAAAGGAAAGAAGGAAAGGAAAGGAAAGGAAAAGAAAGGAAAGGAAAGAGAGTTCAGTTTTATACCTCACTCCAGCTTGTGGTTCAGCATGTCACAGAAACAAAATCCTTGCCTTCACTTGGTACGTGACCCATTACATTGTAACAGAACCGTAATACAGTTTATTTGTTTAGATGTAGCATACCTTCTAAACCCAACCACTGCATTCTGTTAATCCAGATGTAGAATTTAGCAGGCCGTATCAGTCCATTACATCCCAACAAAGCAGGATATGCATTTTCCAAACTTCTCATACAGAGACGGCCCTCGTTTCTCCCATCTACTTACTATCATGTTCTCCAAAGCGTACTTCGCCAACCAGCAATTCAAGAACACGGGGATAAATAAATTCCGTAAACGTGGCCAAAATATCTAAAAAAAAAAAAAAAAAAAAAAAAACCCAAAAAGGACCGGGTTATTTTTGCTAGAAAATGTCTTCTCTCTCAAGCTAAGCTTCTTTTGTAACTAACTACATGGACAGGTCTGTAGAGTTCCCAACGCAGCAACCCAGAAATGGCAAATGCTATCCTGGCAACTAGATTCTTACAAAGCCCACATTTATTCTGAGTTGGCTGCTGCTAGTATGGCCCATTAGCACCTGTACTTCTTTTTTTAAAAAAACTGTATTTTCAGTACAGGGAAGGGATTGTCTTAAAGAACGGGCTCCACCGTTAGAAGATAAAGAGAAATCTCATTTTTCAGGAATCAAACGTACCGTGATAATAAAGGGCACGGTGTTGATCATTTCCAGGATGAACGAAACACGAAAGATTTGCTCACAAATGTTACCCTAAAGGGAAAAAAGAGAGAGTTGGATACAGATTAAGCTTTGGATGCTTAAATCTTCGTTCCCTCCGTAATCATAATAGACTGCATAGTTAAAGACTGGGACAGCCTATAAGTCAACGAGATAAACAAACACATAACTCTCTTTCAGATGTTCTAGGAGGTGAATGTTTTCAGCCCTGCTACCTCTAGGAGCATCATCCGACAGTCCCTATTATCCAGCACTAAAACATTGGTTGTGATAGATGAAACTTGAACCCATCTATTCTGGTTTTATTCGATATCTAGCAATACAAGAGGGATGAGAGTGATATCCAGATAGATCTGGAGAACCTCAAGTTGAGGATCAAACTCCAACTCATCTTTTCTGGTTTTATTAGATATCTAGCAATAGAAAAAGGATATGCTGAAACAGATCTGGAGAACATCAGGTTGGGGACAAAACTCCAGACCATCTATTGTGTATTAGACATCTAATACAGCTGTACAAGAAGGAAGAGATACTCAGATAGATATGGAGAACATCAAGTTGGGGACAAAACTCCAGACTATCTATTGTGTATTAGACATCTAATACAGCTGTATAAGAAGGATGAGATACTCAAATAGATCTGGAGAACGTCAAGTTGTAGAAAGCCAACATGAACTCTATAAGGATTGGACGAGTGAAGGGCTTCCATGCATCAGAAGCAAACGAACCAAGAAGGAAACACTGACTTGTTTTGTGGGAGTAGTGAATGTGGAATAGAATTGGGGGACACCCATTGGGTGGATCTTGGCATTCCCAGCGATCCTGCAAACATCTTCAGATCAATTCAGCATCAAGGCTGTCAGACACATAACCACATATAGAAAACCCTGCCCCCTCCCCTCCATCCTCGGGTGATATTGCTACCCTGGGAATCCTCAATGGCATTTCATTTGGCAGTCAATTCCCACCCTGCTGCAACCTTCCAGAACGACTTACGCATGTGTGAAAGCACTCTTGCCCTTTAAAAAAAGTGTCCTCTAACCTTCTTTCTTACCTTATAGCTGAGGTAGATTAGAAGCATTGTCTCAAGAAAGCTAATGATAGCCACACTGACCTGGATGGAGAAGAAGACAGAAAGATAGGGAAGAACGGACCAGGATGGGAAGAATAGTATGCTATCCATTTTGCAGGACCAGCACCACCAACACACAATCACACTTACTTGTATTGCCCACAACGGCTTGTTTCGATCCACCCACAAAATGGGAGCCCTGGAAAGAATATTCACAGAACAAAGCTCAGCAACAGCCAGGGAGAATCGGGAAAACAAGAAGCAGACTGGATCAAGAAGCGATGCTTCATTCAGATTTTGCAAGTCTCCAGTGTCTTTAATTCAGGCTATAAAATATACATCAAAACATGCAGCACAATGGGCATCGCTGGACCTGTTAAAAGAGTGCCTAAGACTGTCAGTGTATCCATGAATATTTTCTTGTATTTATGAGGTCCCCTCGCCTATATAATGTCCTCCCCCTCCTTCTAAAGGAGACAATTCCTGATGCAAACTATCTAGAATCTATTTCCAAGGTGCATTTAAGGATCTTCTTCATATACAGTATACATTATTACATATGTACATTATAAAAAATAAGGTAGAGAGAAAGGAATTTAAATGTTGGAACCCAGACAATACGTTGCTGATAAAATATTAAGCAGCTGTGACTATAAAAAATGATCAGCAACGTATTGTCTGGGTTCCAACATTTAAATCCTTTTCTCTCTACCTCATTTTTCTAGCCACTGATAAAAGGTATCCCATGCTCTAAAGTATACTGAATCTTCTTTCTCCTTCATTTTCAGTGTCAATCTATCCATGTCTCCACAATCTAAAAAAAAAAAAAAATTAATTAACTCTTCCTCCGCTGGTAAATCTTCATTTTTCCAACGTTGAACAAATACAATGCTCACTGCAGTTAATATATGTGATATTAGATGTATACACTCTTTCTCGTATTTTCCTACAATTATGCCTAAGAAAAATAATTCTGGCTTAAAGTCTATATGTTTTCTTAGTCATTTTCTCTAACCATATGTGTATTCTTGACTAGAATCTTTTGGCTTTGGGGCATGTCCACCAAAGATGGTAATAAGTGCCTGGTAAGGTCTTCATGGGTGTAAATAATAATAATAATAGTAGTAAAGTTGGAAGGGACCTTGGAGGTCATCTAGTCCAACCCCCTGCTCAGGCAGGAAACCCTACACCATTTCGGACAAATGGCTGTCCAATCTCTTCTTAAAAACTTCCAGCGTTGGAGCATCCACAACTTCTGGAGGCAGGTTGTTCCACTGATTAATTGTTCTTACTGTCAGAAAGTTTCTCCTTAGTTCTAGGTTGCTTCTCTCCTTGATGAGTTTCCACCCGTTGCTTCTTGTCCTGCCTTCTGGTGCTTTGGAAAATAGCTTGATTCCCTCTTCTTTATGGCAGCCCCTGAGATATTGGAAGTCTGCTATCATGTCCCCCCCTTGTCCTTCTCTTCATTAAACTAAATAAAATAGGTGGGGGCCACAGGGCAAGTCTTCCTTAGAGAGAGAAGCCCACCTACGCAGAAAAGAACAATTCAAAGGTAAGAGGAAGATGGGGTAGAATGTCTTGGACCTTGGAGGAGATATCAAGGAGACAACATCTTCAAAAAGGGCAACCCAGGTGGACCGACGTGTTTGTGCATTATTCTGAGGTCCTTTTGGCTTTTAATGGATGCCTATTTTAACATCCTGCCTTCTAGAAAGACGGTTGCTTTTTCGCTGCTTGATTTCACACAGAAAATTAAAGGGCTCCTTGTTAAACTGAAGCTCAACAACAACAACAACAACTTTTAGAAAAGCTGACAACCAATTTACCAGTTGATTTCCGACGACGATTGATTGAAGGAAGAATAGATGTGCTTCTCGCATTCCCAGCTGGTGGGAAAGAAAAGAAGATGCGTTTTAGGAGCAAAATCCAGCCAAGGGCAATAAAGAAAATAAACGCGGGCCGTCCTCGAATTACAGCCACAATGGAGCCCAGCGTTTCCGCTGCTAAGTGAGACGTTGGTTCGGCGAGTTTGGCTCCATTTCCTTGCCAACGTTGTTAAGTGGATCGCAGCGGGTGTTAAGTTAGTGACCTGGTTGCTAAGTGAATCCCGTGGACTTGGCTTGTCTCAGCAGGTCGCAAAAGGGGATCATGTGACCCCCGGGACGCTGCAACCGTCGTAAATATGGGTCAGTTGACAAGCGTCCAGATTTTGGCAGTTACGAGCTTTCAAACATCCTCAGGATTATGCGATTAAAATTCAGACGCTCAGCAACTGACTTGGCGTTTATTTTCTTTATTGCCCTCAGCTGGATTTATGACGGTTGCGGCATCCCGGGGTCACGTGCTCCCCTTTTGCGACCGTCTGACAAGCAAAATTCATGGGGGGAGGAGCCAGATTCACTTAATGACCATGTGATTAATTTAAGAATTGCAGTGCTTGACTTATCAACGGTTTGCAAGAAATGTCATCCAATGGGGCACAACTCACTGAAGAAACGTCTCACTTAGCAGCAGAAAATTTTGGGCTGCATTGTGGCCGTAAACTGAGGGTGACCTGCATAAGTCTGTGGGCTATCGTTATTGCAAGGGTTGTAAATGAGAATTTCTTACCATCCTATCCGTTCCGGGTCATCCAGCAGAACGCGGACGATATAAAGAAGGCAAGTCAGAAGCTTGAGCGAGAAGTTAAACAGGCGTATTCTCAGGCCTGGCGTGAAGAGGACAGATCAATGTTGTTAGGCAAATCACAACGGCAATAATAACTAACACTAAGTGCATAGCTAAATGTCTGTGGAGATTCTCTGTCCACCAGGTCAGAGTTGTCCCAAAGGTGCTTTTTCAAGAGGCAACTGGACTTCCTTGTTTTTCTTTGAAGACGTTTCGCTTCTCACCCAAGAAGCTTCTTCAGCTCTGATTGGATGGTGGAGGATGGAAGGATTTATACTCCTTGCAGACAGCTGGTCATTTGCATTCTTTTAGAGGGCCGTTGAGGCCACTTGGAGGTTTTCCTGTGTCCTCAGGGTCACCTGAGCGGTGCAAATGTGTGTGGAGCCTTCTTGGCTACAGAATATTTTCCATTTGCACTGCTCAGGTGACACCTATACACATTTTGTCACGACAATGTTGCTAGGCAGGATTCCGTTCCTAACTCCGTAGAAAACGGGAAGATACTGAAAAGAACCAAGCCCTGCAGCTAGTAGATGATTGCATTTTCTTAGAACAGCACCCATCCGTGGAAGACTGAGTGCTAGCAAAAAAGAAAAATAACTTAAAATCCCAAATAAAGCAATCAGGAACAACAACCAATAATTCAAATTCATAAGCAGGGAAGTGTGAAACTAAATGAATCATTCTGTGTTAAAGGATTGATTACTTCTTTTTAAAGATCAATTAACACCCCTGGCAGTGTCTGGTGCTACTTGCCTCCAGTGAGGCAAGAAATCAAACATTTTGTTTTCACATTTCAAAGACAGATGGATCTTCCTTAGCATTCCGCCTACCCTTTTCTAATTCTCCAGCAATTTTCTCTAATTTGAAAAAATAAAATAAAAAATAAAAACCCACAGGCTGGCGTCGAAAGCTGCTTTTTCTTCCCTGCGAAACAGACAGCGAGGTCTAAAAATCCCAAATGTCCTGATGGAGTATCACTGTCTGTCTCTGTCTGTCTCTGTCATCTATCTTTGGAAACATCTCTTTTTAAAAGGCGTCTGTTTCATTTGAAAGCTGTCGTTCTTTAAAGCTTCTTTTTTCTTTTTTTGCAGATGCTGAAAACAAAGCTGATATTCTCATAACGTGAAATGAGAAACATCGGGGCTGGAGAGGACTTTGGAAATAATTCCCCCAGCCCCCCAAAAATGTGCTAATGTCTTTTGGAAGTTGCCGGTCTCTGAATCAAATCAATACTTTTTGCAAGACACCCTAACTCGGCAAGGGGGTGGATCCCCAGGAGGCAGGGGCTTCATCCCAGAGGAGTAAGAGGCAACCCAGCCTGGATATCCCTGTGTGAGAGAAAGTGGGTGAAGACAGCTCCTCCCTAATAGTTCCCAGAGCATATGGTAGATGTAGGTAGTGGAGCCTTCAACTCTGGAAAGATGTCATCTATGGGTGTGAAACAATAAAGAACTCAGCTTGGAAGAATCACCATGTGTCATTCTTGGCTGACACATGGTGATTGAGAAAGCTGGGAGTTGAAGACCACACACGGTGGCTGATGGAGGCTGGGAGCTGAAGTCCACACAAGATGTGATGAAATGTAGTGAGGAGGTAGATCTCCAGGTGGGAGGGAATGCATCCCAGAGAAGTAAGAGGCAATTCAGCTGAGATATGTGTGTGAGAGAGAGGGTGAAGGCAGCCTCTCCCTAATAGTTCCCATAGTATATTGTAGATGCAGATACTTGAGACTTCAGTCTGGCAAGATTCTGTCTATAGGTTTCAAACAAGGAAGAACTCAGCTTGGAAGAATTACGTGCCGTTCTTGGTTTTGGACCTGACACTAAGTCAGACCCAAACAAACCACGCATTAGGGCTTGTTGTGGGAAGCAAATTAAACCATCAATGATCGTAACCATGAATTGATTTGACATTTCTCAGCACAGAAACTTACTTGATCGTTGGTTTTTGATGAAGAATAGCTTTAAACGTTCTTTAAAGGTGTTCTCATTCACGTAAAATTCCACTTCAACCCTGCCAGGATAGAAGGATGAATAGAACAAGTGAGATGTCATTTCAGATCCCAATTATGTCGCTGGGAAAATTCATGGTGAATTTCGCTTCCAGCGAAGGAAGCAAGATTGAATCTGCTCCAGTAGAAAGGATGTGATATCTCATTCACAGACTCTTTTAACCATTCTTTCAAATACATTTCTGAATTCAAACACTGATTAGAAACGGTTACACTTGGGAAGGGCAGCATGCAAAACAGACTTAGATTGAAAGATGCTCTAAATAGCTGTAGTTACACCAAGTGGTATTTTCATTAATCCACTTTCTGGGATTGACCAAACAATGAACCATAAATGAACTCCGTTACAGCAACTAAGCCTCAAAAAAAAAACCAAAAAAAAAAAAAAAAACCCTCTAACCCAATTTAAACAAGCCAAGCTTAACCCATGGTGTGAATAAGGATCTTAGGTTTGAAATTTTAAATGTGCAAAATAGAAGAAGCTGAGTTTAGAAAAAAAAAATGGAGACAAGAACTAAATTAGAAATGCAATGTTCTTGTTTTTTTTCTCATGTCATCCATTTTTAATTGAAAATATTGGCTTCTTGGAGAAAACCTAACAAAGAGAATAGTTATATTTGAGTCTGAAGAAAGGAAGCTGCCATTTTCGGGTGATGTTCTCCAGAAAAGACAATTACTATGGTCGATGAGAGTTAATCGATCCTTGATAACGTCTGATGAATTATTGGTAGTTTCATTGTTTGGAACCAAAGTGGAAACAACAACAACAAAAAAAAATTCTTCAGAGATAGGAATTCTTCCAAGACACTCTCTTCTCCAAAACTCTTCCATACAAAAAAAAAATTATGAAAAGACACGAGGTCTTCCTAACGAATACTCAGGGATATGTTTTTTTCTGCAAATTAAATGCAGCTCCATTTTCAACCCTCATTCTTCCAGTGCTGCAATCGTTCTCAAGCTAAGCAAAACATCAACCGCAATCAATATTTTAGGAGACAGTCCACGTTTAAAAAAAAGTCTTGTTTGGGGGAAATCAAATGATTATAAAGTTGTCTACTTAGTTCAGTCTAAATGCTTGGACATTGTTTCCCCTAGCAAACACATCCATAAACAGGACCCAAAGGACCAGCAATGAAAATACATGAAACTGACATAGATTGAAATCAGAGGAAACCCATCACCCATCGTTTTCTCATGAAAATTCTCCAGAGAGGGATTGTAACTAACTGAACTGAATACTTCTCAGTGAAAACGCACTAGAGTTGAGCAGCCAATCTATCTAAATTAAACTCCTCTCCCTTTTTACGACCCTGAGTGTAATCCCTTAATTTGGGGTAGAGCCCAGGTGACTAGACGGAGCTGAGTGTTTACTAGCCGGATGCCTTTCCTGACGTCACCGGGAAGTTCACAGTAAATATTTTTTTCTTTGCGAGAAAGAAACATCTGCCGCTATCTAGCATTGAAGCCTCAATCTTCCGAATGGGAGGCAAGCGTCTTCACCACAGGCCGCCATGCCACTCAGCCAATACTTCTAAATAAATAATGATAATTACAATGTAGCCTTAGGAATGAACTACAAATGGAATGTTTAGGCTTCTCCGCGAAAGAATTCTATCTCTACAGTTTAGTTCGGGAATCTAAGAAACATGAATTCTTTAAAGACTACTTCATAGTGAGCCAAGAAGGTTTAAACTGAAGATAAACGTGCAAAGAGAGTTAATTAAATTTTTATACAGTTCAGAGCACCGTAATGAGAAAACCGTGCCTTTAACTTTGTTTCCACACCATATAATAAAGCACGTTGCGATTTTGGCTTAGCGTGATGTAAATCTGAGTGGCGATCTATGCCTTCTTTAACCAATCTGAGATTTTAAACAATCCCCACTTAATCTGAGATCGGAATCACAGCATTTGCAGGAGGTGACCAGGCTGAGTTCGAGGGAGGGATCAAACACGTCGCCCATCTCAAATCCCTTCGTCCAGCCCATTTTGCAATCTTCTACTTTTATCTCCCACTAATTTCCCTTGGCTGTTAGTAGTTCAGATTCTTGTAGAGTGCTTAAGCTTTCAATAAATCTTTATATTTGAACAGTCTGGCTCTCTTGGTCCTTAATAGCATTATATCTGCAATCTATTTTCATATATTATTTCAGCTTCTTTCCCAGGAACCGTATCCAGAGGTATGCAGAATTTGCCACAAACATAGAGTCTATCTTCTCAGCAAACTACATTTCCCATCATGCTCATTCCCCACAAAAAGGAAGCGAACTTTTAAGCCAACTTAAGTCTGTGGTCGGGGAAAAAGTACCACGTCATTTCTCTCCTTTCCCATAACATCAATGCTTAAAGTGCACGACGCATGCAGTTGTTTGAAGCTAACTTACTGTGAAAGTGAAGAATCCATGCTAAAGTCTTCATTATGTGGCCTAAGGACAAGGGCATAAGGAATATTAAGAAAAAATACATACCGACCCCCCCCAAAAAAGAGTGATTTCTGGACATTTTCAGCATACAAGTAGTGTTCGACTTATCACAGTTTGTTTAGTGACCGTTCGGAGTTACAACTGCACTGAAAAAAGTTCACACTTAACGACCGTTGCAGTATACCCAGGGTTGTGCGGTCAAAATTCGGACGCTTGGCAACTGACTCATATTTATGATGGTTGCAGTATGTCCCGGGATCATTATAGTCGTTAAGTCAAGGACTGCCTATATCTAGTTCAGGATGAGTGTACCGAAGTCTAACATTCAAAAGCACTGCAAAGTGCTCAATATTCTATATACTATTAAGAAACAGTCACGTATTATTGAAGGAGTAAAGAATTTGCTTCCCCTTCGGTTGAGCTGGCTAATATTTTGATGGGAGACACAGTTAGGAAATCCCTGCATTATAGGCCAGGCTGGGACACTGAGAAATTATCCCGGAAGAAATAGTGTCTACAACTTTGCACTAAGAAACAACACAAATGTAACCGTGAACACCCCACAAGGAATTGAGTTTGACTTGAAATGCTTTTTTTTTTTTATAGCCAACCACCAAAGGAATCGTGTGTGAATGGATCATAAGGTTGCACAAGCCACAAGGGAAAGGAATTAGAAAAGTTGAATTATGCCGAATTAGAAAAGTTGAATTCTTTCTTGTTTAATTCAACCTCCTGGCCAATCAGAAAGGAGAAATCTGGAGCTGCGCAAAGCCGTCCCCTCAATTGATGCGTGCCTATATAGATGATTGGTTCCGCTCTATTAAAAATGGCAGCCTAGCTTTATACACTTACACACTCCCTGTTTTGTGCAGTGAAACTTCCTTGCAAGCAAACAAGCGTTTAAAACGGTGGTAACTTACAGACGTATGGGGTTTAGTTACCGTGCAAGGACGACACTCATTTGTGAGTTGCCACCGCAGAACAAATAGCTTCCGCTTAGAAGCATGTGCATTTGTGTGTATTTATTTCACAACTGTGCTAGTCTTCAAGCGGGTCATTTAAATTTTATATGTTGAGCCTATGGAGGGGGGGGAGAAGGAAAGAAAAGGAGACTACAGAGAGAGGAGTAGAATTATTGGTAGAAGGTCAATAAAACAAACATTCCAGAAAATGTTAGATTTTTCAAATACTGCCTATTTCCCGGTGTCTTTGGTGCTTGCTAATCATTAGTACTAAGAGAGGCAGTTTGGGGTAGGGATTAAGGCGCCAGGCTGGAAAGCAGGAGACAGTGAGTTCAAGTCCTGCCTGAGTCATGCAGAAGATCTTGTCAAGAAAGCTTCAGGGTGTAGGCCAGGCAAATGCTAGAGGTCAACATTTGAGTCAAACACAAACTAGAGCAGGACCCAGTCTGGAAGCGTTGTCACTAGACTGAGAATTTCAAACGAAATCAAAGACGACACCAATGGGACACACTTCTGTAAGGCTGCCCAGTAAAACTAGATGTCTAAACAGATTGCCGTGTCCCTTTCCTTTCATTTGTGCCAAGCGATGCAGGAAGGTGTGAAGGAACCAAGAAAAATCGGAGCATCCAACTTCTTTGCTGCTCTTTCCAGAAAGAAGCTCATTTCACACAGGAAAAAACAAAATGAGAAGTCCTTTATCTGTTCAGCTAACATCACTTGAGGGTTAGAATATAGAATCGTAGGCTACAAGGTCTTCTAGAGATCCAACAGCCCACTCAAGACAGGAGACTTCATACTGTCCTGGTCAAGTGGTTGTCCAGTCTCTTCTTGAAAGCCTCCAGTGATGGAGCACCCACAACATCTGGAAGCAAGTCGTTCCAGTGGTTAATTGTTCTCACTGTCAGGAAATTTCTCCTTATTTCTAAGTTGGCTCTCTCTTTAATGATCTACCCCTGTTGCTTCTTGTCTTGCCCTCTGGAGCTTTGGAGAATAAGTCTTCTTCTCTGGGACAGCCCTTCACATCCACTTGGTGGAAATGCTGTGATCTAAGACCTCAGCCTTGGACATTTATTGGGTTTTCCCATCCATTTGTGCATCAAAGATCCAGAAAAACTTGGTTGTTGCTTAAGTGGCTCAGGGCAGAGAGAGTTCAAACCAAAAAGATTATTATTAAATCATAATTCAGTTTCCAACCACCTAGAGGTTGTTCTCGGGAGGAAGGAGATAACAGAAAATTTTAAGCAGCCTTTGAAAAATCAAGAGGGTTATGCAAGGAAGTCTCTGCAAGCTGAGCTCTGAGTGAACGCCTGGAGGGGCGAAAACGGGAACATTTCCAGCTTCAAATACATGTTTTTTTTTTCTCCAGTTCTTTTTTTCCTGAACAGTCTTCATAGGACTGAAGCGTGCTCCTTTCTCAAGGGTCTTTCCCCACTTTTATTTAAACCACAACACAGACATGCCCTGGCAATAACTTTGTCTCCGCAGTGTTGCTTTTACCCACACAATCAGTTTGCACTGGAATTTATTTAGGAAGATATGATAGCAACCTTCCAACATTTGAGGGGCTGTCACAGAGAAGGGGGGGGGTCAAGCTATTCTCCAAAGCACCGGAAGGCAGGACAAGAAGCAACGGATGGTAACTTATCAAAGGCAGATGCAACCTAGAAATAAGGAGAAATTTCCTGACAGTGAGAACAATGAACCAGTGGAACAACCTGCCTCCAGAAGTTGTGGGTGCTCCATCACTGGAGGTTTTTAAGAAGAGATTGGAGGTGTCCTTAATCTCTAATAATCCCTAGTGGGCCGGTCTCCCCACTACAGATAGTCTGCAACTTACAACAGTCCCTTTAGTGACTGTTTGAAGTTATAACGGGAAATGAAAAAAAGGAAGGGACGATCATTTTTTCACACTTACAGCCATTGCGGCATCCCCAGGAGCACGTGATCAAAATGGGCCACTGGTTCATTCTTACGACGGTTGCCGTGTCCCTTTGCGACCTTTTGGACAAGCAAAATCCAGGGGGGAAGCCAGATTCAACTTCACAACCACGTTACTAATGGAACGATTGCAAGGATCGACTTAAGAACTGTGGCAAGCAACTGTGGGGCAAAGTTCACTTAACCCGTGTTTCGCTTAGCAACAGAAATCCCTGCCTCAATTGTGGTCATAAGTCAAGGACTACGTGAAGCTTCCTCAATCAGACTCCCAGATACGGAAAAAAGACATCTGGGAACTGAATAGAGGCAGATGCCACGGGAGGTGAAGATGACTGAGAACGGATGATGGAACGAAACACGGGATGTTCACACTTCACAGCTCCATCTGGAGCCTGATGGTGACTTGTCGCTTGTGAGCCACCCAGGGAGAAAATTTGTGTCTTGGTAATTTGGTGTCTGTGTGTGAGAAAGAGAGTATGCTTACAAGTAGGATGCCAGTCAAGATTTGGAGAAGGGGACACTTTTCCTTCTGTAGCAGAACTCAAGAGGAAAGAAAGAAGGGAAGAAATAAAGAAGGTTTTTAAAAAGAGATTGGACAACCTGTTTGTCTGGAATGGGACAGAGTTTCCTGCCTAAGCAGGGGGTTGGACTAGAAGACCTCCAAGGTCCCTTCCAACTCTGTTATGCTGTGGATTGTCTCCAGAAGTTGTGGGTGCTCCATCACTGGAGGCTTTTAAGAAGAGACTAGACAGCCATTTGTCTGGAATGGGATACGGTTTCCTGCCTGAGCAGGGGGTTGGACTAGAGGACCTCCGAGGTCCCTTCCAACTCTGTTATTTTGTTAAGATACTCTAACTCAGGGGTTCCCAACGGGGGTGCTTGCACCCCCTGGGGTTGCAAGACAATATTCTAGGGGGTGCGAAAACTTGGGTTTTCAAAATTATAGTGTATATAGCCATTAGTTCAAACTTTTGTTAAGGGGTGCAAGAATATATCAGAAGCTATTTAGGGGTGCTGGGTATAGAAAAGGTTGGGGGCCGCTGTAAATGAGCAAAGCATTTCTTGGAAGACTAACAAGTCAGTATTGATTCTGCTTGAACCCTGCCAGTTCTAATCCCATCTTTGCAGAAGGCTGTTCCAGCTTCAGCAGATGCATGATTCAGCAGCAAACAGAGACTGGTGGCCGTCCAGATGTTGCTGGATTTATGTCCAACAACATCTGCACAGAGAACAGGTTTCACACTCAGTGCCATAGACAATGAGGCCCTTAAGAAGAAGAAAAAATCAGTCTGGTTTAACCACTGTCCCAACTAGACAGCTATCATCATAACTATCTTGGCTGATCTCAAAAGGCTAAGCCTGGAACGTCTGCTAGAAAACCACCAAGCTCAGAAGGCACCAACAAGTCCACAGAGTTCAAATATTCTCTCCTGTGGGGTCATTTGGGTTGCCAAGAGGTCAATGTTAACTATCAGCCTTGTAGTCACCACAGCAGATGGCTTGAGAATTCAAGCAGTGGTAAATGCAATCTTAACATGATACTCATTAGGCAATTAACCCCTTTCTGGGTCATGAAGCTCTTGCTATCCACTGTGGTGAACAGGAAGCAGGAAGCACACCAAGACATCCAAAGCAGGAGAGCACATCGTGACATTGCATGAAGTTGCTACTGGGGTGAGCATTGGAGCTACAGGAAGGACCTGGATCTAAGACTAATAGATGGGAGTCAACTGAAGTCTACCTCCTGTAACACACCATTCAGACGTGCTTAGAACAAAGTCCAAGGAGCTATCATGGGCTAGGGGTGACCTGTTAGCAGTGTTCCAATATCCGAGGGGCTGCCACGAAGAAGAAGAGGGGGTCAACTTATCTGCCAAAGCACCACAAGGCAGGACAAGGAACAATGGATGGAAAGTGATCAAAGAGAGAAGCAACCTGGGATTAAGGAGAAACTTCCTAACAGTGAGAACAATTAACCAGTGGGACAGAAGTTGCCTCCAGAAATCGTGGGTGCTCCATCAAGGAGAAGACCAGCCTAGAATTAAGGAGAAGTTTCCTGAAAGTCAGAATAATTAATCAGTGGAATGGCTCTCCTCCAGAAAT